TCCATTGAAGAAAGCCGACTGGTGCTTTAGCAGAGCGGACATGTAGCCCTCGAAAGCAGCCATCACCATGTCGATGGAATCCTGCTCCTTCCAGCAAAAGTTGAGCGAACTCCAGGGCGTCTTCAGCAAGATCTTTCGAGATCCCATGCAAGCAGCTTCGCATCTGCTTTTACTTTGAGCTGAAGAGACTTTGCAAGACTGTCGGCCAAGTTTATCTCAAACTGTGCGGGATTCCTGTTGCTCCTCACCCGCATGTCGACGTAGGCTGGAACACCCTGGTCGTCGCCGGCACACTGCCTAGAGTAGACCTCGCGAAGAAGCGCCGATTTGCCCGAGAAAAAAGATTCCTTGGCCCCGTCAGAAAAAAGATCTGACCTTGATCCCCGATGGTCACGGGAGTAAGGAGATCCCTTAGACAGCTCTGATGTTCGATTAAAGAACTTCCCAGCAAACAGATCTGGCACTGAGGAGAACCATCGCACTGACCATCGCGTAAACGAAGGATTCAATTTATAGATGAATGGAAAATTCAGATTTTGAGAAAATGAAGTTTTGACCCATTCAAATTCAGGTATTGACCCAGACAGTTGCATAATACGGTTGAAAAGAATTGAATTTATGATATAGATTGACAGCAACAACGTCAACGATTCAGCGGTTCGAGTGCTGCTTGTGGAACGCTTCGCCTCGGGGCACCACGTCGTCTCTGACATCGTGAAGCTCTGCTGTTCCTCCGCTGGTAATCGGAGAAGAAATTCTGGAGATGATTGAGTCGCGCTACAACTCATCTTCTCTCATTGCCAGATGCTCAGCTCTCGTGACTGGCATGACAATCGGAGTCGATACAACTTTGATGTCCCTGTCGTTGGCTCCCTGTGTTGGAGGAGATAGCAACGAATCATTGTGCAGCTCCAGACACAGTCTCACACAGTTTCTCCACGGGGACGTCTCCATCCTCAGCAGCTGCCATGGCTTCCACCACATTCTTCCAGTCCCCGCGTGTTCATTCAGGTGCTTTCAGGACAAGTTTGTTGCGGGTCTGCATGCGCCGTATGAAACCTGATTCAACAACGTCATTCATGTGCATCAGCTTCTCCTCATCCCATATTTCGCAGACTTTACCAGGCTGTGAGCGTAGCGCCTTTTCGATAAGACCGCACAGCTGAATAATGGCTCCCCCGTAGTGTGCATAAACGTCATCCCAAATTGCAAACACCTCCGCTTCAAGCCACTCCCGCTTCAACTCCGATTTATTCAGACACAGCCTCACGAACTCCTTGGGCTCCGCTTCGTTCAAGTGCCCAATAGTTGCATGGACGATGTCATGACCACTCACTGTCACACAACCATTCCTTAATCCGATGAAGCAAAAACCACGTTAGCCCACTCTTGCTGAGAGATCCGCACCAGGAACTTCAGTACGGCATCTAGCTCCTCTGCGGTTGGGGTCCAGTGAGTCAAGAAATCAGCTTGATCGATGATGTTTGTGGGAAATCCTTTAGAGTGTTTGTACTTGGAAATGTAGCGCGTGAAAGCAACTGTCCATGGGATCCTTCTGCTTCAAGAAAAACTCATGCAAACACCCAGGCGTCTTCAGCGTGATCTTTGCATCAAGAAGCAGTTGCGAGGAGACTTTATCAAATAGCCGGGCATCATTGAGCTTAAGAGAACTAAGCTAATGGGAAAATCTGAGGGATTAATCAAACTCATGTCAACCTTGGTAGTCGCCAGCACGCTGCCTAGAGGAGAACTCGCGAAGAAGCGCCGTTTTGCCCGAGTCCATTGGACCCGTCAGAAGAACGATCTTAGGAGGTCCCTTAGACGATTCAGCTCTGATGTTCGATTGAAAACCCATGGAGCAGTGTTACCTATACGAACATTCCAGAGTAGTGTTTCGCACCCCCAGCCATAGCCACACCCTTATCCTAACTAAGGCTGCTCTTCCAACTTCATTGCATGGCTCCGTTTCTCATCAGCACAAAGTATGCTATGATCGCCTCTCCATCAGAAAAAGAAAATTTGAAGCGAAAAGGAGTACCTCTTGCTGGATAGCTTCGTCGAGGACATGAAGAAGTGTTCCATGTCCACAGTCATGAGATTGTTGATCTCGAGAATAAACCTGCGTGAGAGGATGCAGCTAAGAAAACTACTCACGTTTACCACTTACGAAAACTACTTACGCCTTCATGGCATAGCTGACAAACAAAAATACCAGTCACGATGGCCGCTTGTCTCAATGCCGAAATAATTGCTGCATCAAATTCATAGATTTGAGATATAGGATTGTCCTACCACACAGATCAAAGAGAAAATGGTAAGTTCTATCCAGTCAGGGACGACCAATTTTAAGGCTCTGTTCATCTTTGTTATATATATCTGGTTGACTTTTAGTTGTTCCACTTGCTAGCTCTAGTTCTTCAGACAAATACGTCTCTGTGAAGTGGACTCCTTCTCAAACTCGTTCGAGCTGAAACACTTTTTTCAAAAGGTCTACAGGCAAGTCCTCTCAGCCATAAATTATCATGTCGCTTTGGAGTTTGAAGAAAAACCATAAGGTAATTCCCATGGGCGGACAAGGAACTTGGATTTTCCCGACGCATGACTTTTGGATCGACACAACATCCCATCTTCGTTAACGTGATACCATAATAAAACGTCATTAAATCCTATGTCTCGCTGTATAATTTGGAGCTGTGCTACAACATTGCGCTGGATCCCAGCTACAAGTTTCCATCGATGGAGCCCCACTTTGTGCTCGCATCGCTTGAGTTTCTCTATGTGATGCACACCTTGTAATCTAGAAGAGGACAATGGCAAAGCTTTAAATTGTTGCCTTCATTCACACAATGACTCCATCATTCTAGCGAGGAGTTTCTCGTTTGCCTCTCTCACCAAGACGTACTTGATCCGCTCATCCCTCTCCATTATAATTCCAAGCCTTCGGAGTTTATCCACAGCGTCCTTGACCTCAAATTCACTTGTCCCATTCTCGAAGTAGCTCTCAATCAAGTCATTGCATCGGTGCCGCAGTTCCTGGAAAATCAATCGATTGAATACTTGGTTGAATGGACCAAAGGAAACCTCTTCACTGATGGTTCCGCCAGGGTTTCTCATCAGTACAAAGTACGCTATGATTGCCTCTTTCACCTGCAAGTAAACACGCGATCAGAGAAAGATTTTTTGAGGCGAAAAGTCGTAGTACCTCCTGCTGGATAGCTTCGTCGAGGACATGGAGAAGTGTTCCATGCCCACAGTCGAGTAGTTTCCCAGCCATGAGATTGTTGATGTCTCGTTCGTACTCGAGAACATTCATATTAAACCTGCGTGGGGCGAGCCATAAGCACGCAAGTGAAACCAGCTAACAGAACTACTTACGTTACGTAGATCTTCATGGCGTAGCTGACAAACGCAACAACAATACCAATCACGATGGCCGCTTGAGAACGTCGTCTCAATGCCGAAACAATTGCTGCCTGAAATTCATAGATTTGAGATATAGGATTCCGTTGCTTCTCTTACCACACAGATCAAAGCGAAAACAATAAGTTTTATCCAGTCCTGCAAAGGTAGCCTTGGATGCTTCTTAGCGGGCTGCAGGAAAAAGATTTCATAACAGGCTTGAAAAGCATCGAGCTTACGAGGACTAGTTCCATGTCCGCCATAGGAATTTCCTTGTAGTGTTTTATGTAGATTCCAAAGTCTTTCTTTCTCTTAGCATCACACAACTCCGTGACTTTCCTGCAGGCCAAAGCGATATGATAATTTACGTTCATGAGAAAACTTGCCTGTAAACTATGATCGTGTGATCAAAAGTCGGATCTTGCAGGGTAAACCTTTTGAAAAAGTCTTTCAGCTCGAACGAGTTTGAGATGTGGATCCGCTTTACAGAGACGTATTTGTCTGAAGAAGTGTGTGCGGTTCTAGTGCCAGGAAGTGGAACAAGTAAAGGTCAACCAGATAGATATAAGAAAGATAAACAGAACCTTAACATTGCTCGTCCGTGCGCTTTGGATTTCCCGACGCATGATCTTTTCAGAAAAAAAAGAGGCATTTTTGTAAGTAGGAACTGATGGAGACACCATACCTGAGGCGGTTCCACAGTTTCTTGAATGTCGCATCCCAACAAAACTGAACAATATAATCCAGCTTCGCTTTGAAGAAGTAAGCTCTCTTTTGATCCGTTCCAATACCACGGCGAAACACAACGTAAAATCGACCCAGATCCGTGTTTGAAGGGTTTGAGTATGGAGTATCTACGAAGAGCTCGTCATCAAGCTGCATTAAGAGAAGATGAACACGAATCTAAAGGGAAAAAGAGAAGATCAAAGAAAAAAACCTGTGTTTTATCGATCCTTGTAGGAAGATGAAAGAGATACTGACTGGAGGTAGCCACATTCCATTCGTAGTCGCTCAAAGCCTTGAAGTTGCTCTTGCTCATGATCTATGCATCGAGTCAAACGATACGCGAGGATAAAAGAGAAACCACTCACACTCGCAAAGTGCTCCAAAAATCGTGCCTCGTGTTCTTTCACTTGAAGATCCGACATTTCTTCTATCTTGCTCGAGCTGTTCCCAAGTGGATTGAACAGATCATACAGCTCCTGAGAAAAATCAGCTCGTTAGCTTGGAGACACAAGAGAACGAAACATACAGTTAACTGTTCCTTCCTGGTACGAAATTCCAAGCCAAACATTTGCTCCATCCTCTGACAAAAGAGCTGGAACTCATGCCGTTCATCTGCGAGAAAAAAAGAAGTTAGCCTCAGCTTGGAACCAGCATTTACCTGGATCAGCAATGCAGGAGCTCAACTTAGCAATGAGCTCCTTCTTGGGCGTTTCGATCACGACCTCGCGCTTGAGTCGAATGCTATGATCTTCTTCTTGGAACTCTATCTCCGACCTGGAAGAACACCATTGGCGAAGACCCACCATTTTCAAAGACACTTACATGCCCGTGTTTCGCGGATAAGCCCTCTAAAAACCCACGACAGAGAGGAGATATGTAGATACTGGTGCATTTATTGAAAGCATAAAGTAGTAGTACAAAGTACCTGTGGGGGCCGATATAATCCGCTGCTTTTAGAATCCAGCCCAGCCCGCCGGAGCCTGAGATCTAGAGCTCTGCGAAGAATCTATTGTTGATGATCGAAAACCACCCTTTGAATCCTGTTGCTGCTGCTGCTGCTGCTGATTTAAACTCATCGAGCTGGAGCCGCTACTGTTGAATCCCCACGTGTCTCCTCCGCTCAAGCTCGCAGCTCTAGCGTGTTGCCTTCTCGGTGGTCCGGAGCCTGTATAAAGCGGAGGATCACTGGACGGTGGCGTAGGAGATGACGAGTTCGTGGAGCTTCCTTTGAAGGCATCACCAAAGGCTGACCACGGCGAAGAGTCGACGAGGGGCGCTTGTTGTGAGAGTCCCTTCGAAGAAGCTTGCGCTGTCAAACCGCTTTGCAAATCCCAGATAGAACCGTTCTGTTTGTCCTTGTCTTTCTCAGTGTCCTGCAAATACATTTCACCCATGTTAAGCCAATGCGTTCGAAGGATTGATCGACGTTCATTGGTTTACCTGTTCGGTCGAATTCCAGTTTACTGGACGAGAAGTGCGTCTCGATTGAGCACTAGCAGACTGGAGAGGCGGCTTTGGCATCGGTTCCTTGCTGGCCGTCGCTGCAGCTAAAGCGGACTTAAGCTCATGTATCTCTTGTCTCTGTGACCGGCAAATTGCTGTTAGCTTCTCATACTTCCCGGCGAACTCTGTCTTCTCAGCCAGTGCCTGCTTCAGTTGCAGCTTCAGCTTCTCCGTTTCTACATTCTTGGCACTCGCTGCGCTGTCGAATTCCGCCACGAAAGCATTGAAAGCCCCGTCATTTGAAACTTCGGACACCTTCGTTGAAGGTGCACTCAGTTGGGGATCAGCATGCTGTTGTTCCATATTCACTTCAGACATCATGGCGTAGCCGTCCCCATCACCATCGTCTTTATTCCAGGACCCGACCTTCTTCACAAAATGTGCCACGCCACCCTTCTTGAAAAGGTTTCCCGGCCTGGTTTCTACACTAGCGTTTTCCGTCTGTACAGAGTTGACGCTGTTCTTCTGTGTTGAGTTGGACCCGTTAAAACCGGCAGACCATCCAGGAGGCGGACCTCCGCTCATCACAGGCGGCGTTACGCTGTTTTCGAGATTATTACTCGATACTGAATCACTGTCATGCTTTGCATCTGCTGCTAACTGTGACGACCAGAAGCTGCCGGCCGTCTTAGCAGCCGGAGGTGGTGACGGAGTCTTTACAGGCGGTTCTGCCGATACAAAGAGTCAGTCATGCAGGCATAGAATCACATCTGACGAAGGCCGACTTACTTGTTTCAAGAGAATCCTGAATGATTGAACTATTTACAGTTGACGAAACTTTATCTGGGAAAGTTTTCCGGCTCTCTATCGGAAGAGCCTCGTTCACGCGGTTCCAGACCTGCCACACAAATCACACTTAATACTACCGGAAAACAAAACAGGCTACGTAAGTGCACGACAGGCAGTTTGCTGACTCTCGAACTAACCTATGAAACAATGCAGATGTGGGAGCCACCCTTGCCTGCAATATGTCTGGTCGTGAGTCCGGACTTGGCATCAGCATGTCCTTGATGAGCTGCGTAATGTTTTCGCTGTATCTGGGGGCTTCTGGAATTCGATAGTTTCCATTCAGGATTTGTAGCTTCGATTCCCCGTCAAATGCAGACTTAAAGAAGCATAGTCTATACAAAAGGCATCCAAGAGCCTGCAAAGACCACCGTACCAAGTGAATAAAAACCATTTAACCAAAGGAAAAGTAAGTGACCAACCCAGATGTCGACTTTCTCGGAGATTAATTCCCTCTGATAAAGGTCCCACATCTGTAGAGGAAGCAACAAGAGAAATCGTCAAAGACACGCAAATTACAAGGACCAGTTCGTTACGTTACCTCGGGAGCACGGTACGCGGGGGTTGTGTGTTTTCTGATAATGTCTTCCTCCACTCCCATCTCTTCAGCTCTCTCGAACCTCCTGTGATTCGTAGAAATGCTCCCAAAATCACAAAGCTTCCACAAGCCATTTGCACCCAGCAATATGTTCTCTGCCTTTAAGTCTCTGCATGAAAAAAAAAAAAAAACAAAAAAACAAAACGTAAAAAGAAAAGATCAGTAAGAACTTGCGGCCTAAACTTTGCGTCCAAACCTGTGAGCGATGGGAGGAGACTGGCAATGCATGGCATAAACCGCATTGCAAATGTCGCGAAAAATCGAGAGGAGCTGCCTCTCCTCGAAGAATCCGGCACCTCTAGCGTCCAAAACAGCCACCAGCGTTTTCTCGCAGTAATCCATCACGAGAAAGCACTCCTTGGTGCGTCCATTGGCAAGCACTGCATGGGCATGGAGCGTGACAATGTTGGGATGCCCACGCAAAGCCTTCATCACCGCGACCTCCTTGCGAACCAAGTGAAGGGACTCGTCATCGTTGCAAATCAAATGCTTGAGGGCGTAGTTCTTCCCGGATTGCGCGTCCCTGGCGAGATACACTGACGAGAATCCCCCTTCCGCGACCACGCTCCTCACCTGGAGCTTCAATGCGCCAACCTCCACGCTCTTGCCCTCCAGCCCGGCCTGATCCTTGGGCATCAGCTGCTTGAGGCGCCACATCGTGGAAATATCAGCCACAGCGCGATCTAGCGGCCTGATATCGTCGATCGAGCAACGCGCATTCCCAAAACTCCCTGCCGCTTACCTCCGAGGGGATCGATCAGATCCAGCGCGCTGCTGCGATCGAGGAACAGTGGATCGGCGGAGCCGCCAGGCGTGCGCTAGTGCTAAACTAAAACCCTATTCCATCCATCTGCTAGTAGCATGTCAATGTCTATGATTCGAACACCACACCATTCTTGGTCATGTCTCGAATGGGAGTCGAGCACTGGACCGGTGTTTGTTGTGGCAAATCATGTCTAGAATGGGAATCGAGCACCAGACTGGTCTTTGTTGTGCAAGTGAATGGGATTCGAGCACGAGACGGATCTTTGTTGTGGCAAGTTTCAAATGAACTGAAGAGACATTGGAGGAGGGAAAGAGAAGAGGTAGGGCAATCGTCGGCGATCGTCGGCGATAATCCGATCCCGCGCGTATTTCCGGGTTGCAGCTTGGATCTAGCCTAGAAATGTGGGCGAGCGCGGCAGGGATAGATTTATAGGGTTGAAGGATCTCTCTCCTCGTCTTTCTCGTTGATCTCTTCTTCTCGATGAGCAGAGGAATGCCAGCGGATGAGGAAGGAGCGAGGTAGAGCAAGGCGGCGGCTTAAGATTTCGAGGAATTGGGCGCTACTTTGCCCGCACAGGGGAATGCATTCGACGTGCACAGCGCTCCACAATGAAGCGCGCTTACAAATTACGTGAGTTTCTTCGCATTTGATTTTTTTTTCAGAGCTTTTGGTTGATCTTGTTGGTGGCAATCCAGAGGAGTTTGTTGCGCATTCTTCCCAGGTGAATTGCCTCAAGATCGGGAGGAAAACATCGCGGGTGCTCGTCACCGGTGGAGACGATCACAAGGTCAATATGTGGGCGATCGGCAAGCCCAACGCGATTCTGGTGAGCACAGCTTTTGATAAAGCTAGGAAAGCATGCTTAGGGGCATTCTAGGCATGGCTGGGAGAGTATCTATTTCTCCACAGTTTTTTCAAGTGTGGTTTGGAACCTTGCAGATAGCTTGTGTAAGTTCTCTCCCAGCGGCCAGTCGGAATTGTGATCAAGAGGGATATAAGGAAAAACAAAGTTGGCGCATTGCATTCTAGTAGGAAGCGACGATCTTATGGACTGAGAAGTATTTCCTGTTTGTGTCACAGAGTTTAGCCGGGCACTCGAGCCCTGTGGAGTCCGTGACTTTCGATGCGGCTGAATCTCACGTCGTCGCTGGCGCAGCCAGTGGTGCTATCAAGCTGTGGGACCTCGAAGAAGCCAAGAGTAAGGTTTTACTCAATTTCCTCCTTTTTCGTTCTCTCCTGAAACTTACTCAGAGTTTCTTTGAATCCAGTTGTCCGCACTCTTACCGGGCATCGTTCCAACTGCACGGCAGTCGATTTCCATCCGTTTGGAGAGTTTTTTGCATCCGGCTCGCTTGATTCGAACTTGAAGATTTGGGATATCAGACGAAAGGGGTGCATCCATACATATAGGGGTCATTGCCGTGGAGTGAATTGCCTCAAGTTCAGTCCAGATGGTCGCTGGGTAGTTTCAGGTGGAGAGGATAAAACTGTGAAGGTAATGTTTTTAACGTTAATTTTTCTGTGCGTCTTATCCGTGCTACTAAGGTACAGTTGTGGGACTTGACTGCTGGGAAGCTCATCCATGATTTTAAGTACCATGACGATCAGATTCTCAGTCTAGACTTCCATCCTCATGAATTCCTTCTTGCGACAGGTTTGGCTTTACGTGATATTTATACTCCTCTTCCAACCTGCATTTTCAGGTTCTGATGACAAAACCGCAAAGTTCTATGACTTGGAAACTTTCGAGCTCGTTGGTTCTTCCGGACCTGAAGTAAGTTATTTGTAACTGCGGTCACTTTGTTCTGATTGTCTTTAACTGTGTCAGGATTCTGGAGTTCGATCGATGATCTTCACTCCTGACGGCCGGACGCTGCTGTGTGCATTGCGGGAAGGCTTGAAGGTACCTTTGAGAAGTTTGGTTATTTTAACGAAACTGTATAGTACTTGGCAGGTTTATTCATGGGAACCATTACGATGCCATGATGTTATTGATGCCAACTGGTCACGATTGGCTGATTTGAATGTGCATGAAGGGAAATTACTTGGATGCTCTTTCAACCAAAGTTGTGTGGGAGTATGGGTCGTGGACTTACCTGTAAGCGTCTTTTGCATCTATTATTGTGTATATAATATATGTTTGCAGCGAGTAGCTCCTTTCAGGAGTATTTCCACACCAAGAAACTTGAGGTCTCCTACAAACAGTAAGCCTTTCCGCAATCCTTTCTACAGGAGGGTCTTACGTACTTAGTGCAGCGAATGGAGAGCACGTCTCATTTCAGAAAGTGAAAACGCCTTCTCCAGGCAGAGACCAGCCTACTATAGCGACCCCTCAAAGGCGTGGAAGCGCGCCTGAACTTCAACCTTCAAGGCCAAATACCAGTTTAGGGACAGAAAGGACGTCGATAAAGCTTTCTTCTCTCAGAAAGAGTTCGGGCGAGCTATTGAAACGAAATAATGACAGGGAAGCGGAATGTACAACTTTGGTGTCTCCAAAAACTCCACTTGCTGACAAACTCGAACAAAAGAACCACCCGGAATCGCACGGGGACAAAACTGGAAGAGGTGATGACGATGGTGGTATGTTCACCACGAGAAGGCGGCTGAGGAAACTAGAAGAAGACTTCTTACTTGGTCAGGCTTTGGCAGGTTTGCTGTCTTGTGACAACGTATCACGCGATAACCGGGTGTTTCTTTTTGCAGAAGCCGACTCTCCGAGAAACTTAACATCGTTTGGAGCTTCCACTACAGGTATGTACTTTGAGTGCATTATAATTATACTTATTTCGTTTCCTGGACAGCAGGTAATGGAAGGCCATGGTCTTCGAGTGCATATTGGGAAAGAAGGGAAAAAGAACGCGAGAGAACTGCGGGGCCAGACGCACGGAATGGAGGGAAGTTTTACGTTGAGCTGGATTCCGTATGTTTCTTTTGTTTATCTCTTGTAGGTTCTGATTTGCTGTTTGTTGTTACAGAAGAGAAGCCGAAGTTCATGTCAAGAAGATACTCGCGTAATAGAAGAAATATTGCAGGAGCGAACTACTATGAGCAATACAATGCAATCTCGTCTTGCCAAGCTACAAGTATGTCTTAAGATAGTTTCCATTCGCTGCTGATGCAGATGTGCACGATGCAGGTTGTTAGGAGATTTTGGATGAAGAAGGATTTGAAGTCAGCAGTGGAAACAATGGCTAAAATGGGAGATAAATCAGTAAGTTTGATGGCTGGTCTCTGTCAACTCATGCTTGCTTTGCAGGTTCTTGTAGATGGTTTAAGTGTTTTGATTGAGAGGAGTGATGTTTTTACTTTAGAAATCGCGGCCATGCTTCTGCCGTTGCTTACCGGCCTTCTTGCTAGTGCAACACAAAGGTTTGCAATCCATTATCGTGTCCATTATCTTCTAATCTTTTGTGGATTTATCTGCAGGCATGTAATGATCTCGATAGCGTTCACGTCGATGCTGGTTACGAATTTTGGACATGTCATTAGCGACGCAGTCTCGACCTCTCCAACTTTGGGTGTGGATTTGCAAGCCGAGAAGAGGTTGGTGTGGTTTGTTTGTTTTTCATTAGTTTCCTTTTTGTTATTCCAGGTTTGGAAGGTGTGATGCCTGTTTCAAGGAGTTGCAGCTTCTAAAACAAGGATTGAAACCATTTCTAAGGTACTCCAAAGGATGAAACTTGCAAGATCCAGCAGCCTTTTGCTTTGTTTTGCTGTCCAGGAAAAGCGGTGAGCTTGGCAAGGCTGCTCTTGATCTCAATTTGGCTCTAGATAGAATGGACATGTAAATCATGTAAATTATTTTTGATAAAACATTTGTTTTATTCATTGGCTATGAGGCAAAATGTTTGTATACCATCATTCATAAAAAACTTAACAAATGGGAGGATCTACATAAGTACATATGATCATTGGCAAAATAGTATCTCGCATCTAATCATGGGTCAAAAACGAGCTCTTCCTTTTTGCTCTTTCCACGAGAAACTTTGCTTTGCAATCTAGGCTGCTCTTTAACGAGCAAAGACGAAGAAAGAAAGAGGAGAAAAACAGACCTTCAGCTCTGGAAAACTGTGAAGTCTCTCTCAGTGGATGAGTTATGGCTTGCTTCCCCACCATTTCTTTCGACTCCGCTCCGACGAGGCCTCCAATCTCTGCAACACCATCTTCGTCTCCCTCACTTGCACCTTGAAATCCTTCTTCCATACGTCGAATCTCTGCTTGAGCTTCTTGAGCTCCATGTCGGGATCCAGCTCCGCGTCGCACTGTCCAGATTTCACCTCCACTATGAACTCGATGTCATCGCTGAATACCTGTGACCGGTGCTCGAATTCTCTCACCAAGTGCTCCACAACGGCTTGTCCCTGGAAACGTCGATAGCTTAAACTTGAGAAAGTTGAGAAGCTAAAGAAAATACTTTTACCTCTCTGTTGATCGATGTGGTGGTGGACTCGGGAGTCCTGGTCCCGAAACTCGTCCTCTCGTCCCAATCAAAATCCGAATCGTTTTCGCTCTGCGGAAGGATCGGCCTTGCAGCTCGCTGCCTGGACGCATTGCTTTGCACCTCAAAGAGATCGTTTTGCTTCGCGTCGAGTACGGTGGTAGCCAGGCTCGTCTTGGCCGCTTCCAAGCTCTGCTGCAAGGAGGCCATCTGGTTTTGCCACAGGCCCTCCATCCTGTTCATCTTGTCCTCGTACTCGCTCCAGCGCGTTTCGTACAGCCTCAGCTTCATCACCAGCTCGGCATTCTCGTCTTCCTTCTCGCACAGGTTCCTTTCCATCTCGAGAAGCCTCTTTTGCATCTCAAAGACGGTCTTTTCTGGCACAACTTTGGTGGCGCCATCTTTTTCCGGAGTCTCAAACACCGTCTCTCGCATTACCTTGCAGTCGACATCCATATCCAAGTCCACTGCTGAGATATTCACGTACTCACTGTCTTCCTCAGACGGCTCCGTATGGTGTTTTCGTTCATTCCGGCATAGCCATCCTCTCACCACTGTTACAAAAAACCGGTTAGCATGTATTTGGTTAGCAGCTTAGTTTTTAACTTACGTGCTTGAACCAGGATCAATCTAGCTCGAGCTTTCATGTAGGCCATCCGAGCCCGTATGCTCCGAAAATACTTTTGTAATGTGATCGTTGCGAAGAGTCTCTGCTGCCAGATTCTGGACCAGCGTCGCGCATGAACGAAAGCCTTGTAAAACTTCTGGATTGTGACAGCTGCCTGATGGATAAGTTTTTGCTGGTGGTATCCACGTCTTGATATGATGCCTCTAGCGTGTTTCTGTATGATGATGCTAGCGGACCATCTCTTGAGTAGATTGTTGTAGTGCTTTCTTGCCAGCATGCCCCTTGAAACCTTCTGGAGCTTGATGGCCGACACGTGAACTAGCTTGAGGTGCTCGTAATAAACCTGTGCTTGCCGCCTCCTCATCACTGCGACAATTCCAGACGTGAGAAAGTCATGGCCGGAAGAAAAATAAGATAAATTCATACATGATTGTAAGCAGATTGTGGTCCTCCGCAAGTGGAGATATTCAATGCGATCTCTCCTTCCTCTGAAACGGGATTGAGTATAAACCACTGCGTTCAATGTGCCTGTACGCAGGTGCTCCAGAATTCCTATCTGCAACGTATGATATGTAAAGTTATGGCAGTTTGTTTTTCACAGCTCAACGCAGCTCACCTGGCCTGGACGGAAAAACAATTTACTTAAGCCGGCTTGAAAGGCACCAGGTAGAATTGAATTTTTTTGAAGAACTAGAAGGGAATCATTGCGATAGTCATTATGCCGAGACTTGGTTTGCCCAAGTAGAAATCCATATCTAGAAAAGAAGAAGAAAAAAGATGTTAAGAAACTATAAGAGCAAGAAAGACACCGACACAAACCTCTGTGCAAAATGCTCGTAGGAGTAGCGCGTTGGGTATCCAGATCGCGCGATCCGAACGACCTCTAACACGCCACAGCAATGCAACTGCTGCAGTACGAGATCAAAGTCGAAAACGTTCCGGAGCTGCCTGTTATTTGGTTTGACACATCGTATAAAATGCGGGCTTGTGGTTTCCAGCCTTTCCATCAAATTAAGCAGCTGATTCTGCAGACCATGAAAAAAAAAAGGTTAGCAGCAAATAAAGCTTGACATCAAACTTGATCACCTTGAACTTGGTGGACACACTCCGCCTTTGTAAATCAACGCCGTTGAGTCTTCCTGTACCCCCAAGCTTAGCCGCAAACTCTTTTGCCAGATCATGCTCGCAAGAGCCAAGCAGTTCCAGAAGATCAACATGGAGAAGGTCTCTATTTTTCTCGAGGAATCCGGATGTCCCGTAAGTTACCTGTTCAAAACAATGTAAGCAATATACACAAATTATCTTGCCTACAGTACTTCTCCTGCATAGTGATTGATCGTAAAGCCAGGAGAGCGCTCGGCTTTGAAACAGCTATTTCCTTTCAAATGTTCGCTAAGTTTCAAAGCTAAGCTAGCTTCTGTTGCTTTAGGAAAGCTGCACTCCTCATCTAGCAAAGTGATTAGGCCCACTGGTTTCTGCACGTAAACAAGAGCTTATACACTTGCTGAGATTTCAAACGGGAGAATACCTTTTCAATAAGGTCCAAACACTCTTGGTTGTCCACAAACTCGATCTTCGTCCAATCAATTCCTTCAGAACTGTATTCCTAAAATGAGAAAAAAAAAAGAAAGAAAAAATAAAGATCCAAATCATTATAATAGATGAGCTTACGTCCTGCTCAATTTTGAAGAGGTGGTGATTGAAAAACTGTTGAAGCCTCTCATTTGCATAGTTTATGCACAGCTGCTCGAAACTGTTGTTCTACACATGTTGAAGCAAACTGTTAAAGATCGGTGAGAAGCGGCGTGTGTGATACTTGTTACCTCAAAAGACTCAAACCCATAGATGTCGAGAATGCTGATAAACTTCGACTCGCAAGCTTTTCCGGCGTCCAGAGAGTTGTTTATCTTTTCAACCAGCCACTCAAATAAACAGGAATATATGGCTTTTGCCAACGCATCTCTTGAGTCGATGGCCTGTGACGAGCGAAAACGAGCTAACATATTGCCATTCCATGAAACCTATCCATAGCATACCTGGGCCTCAGTCAGTTGTTGGATTATGACCTCGCCTCTAGCATTAATTTTACGGGTGCACAGCGCCGTATGAAGCACATCTATCTGGCATCCTAGTAGCGACGCGACAGACCTTGCAGCTGACAAAGTGGCCATTAGCGTGATTTCTCATTTTCAAGCTATTTACTGATACCTTCGTCAACAGCCATTGTCGAATAGTTTTCGCTCTCAGCCGTGTGGAACGAGATGTTCCCCAGCCAAAGAACCGCTGCAAGCATCTCAAAGAGTCGCTGCTGGTCGTTTTTGGGAATTCTCACGCGATCCATTGCATTCTGGAGTAAAAAAGGAGTGTTTTGCCATCTTGCATAGAATCAGGCATTATGATTCTGCCTACCAACATCGCCCTAAACTGTGCTGCATCATCCACGGCATCAATAGTCAAGCACCCGTTTCGACTCAAGTACTGATAGTCAGATGCGAGCTTCAAGTTGATTTTCTCTGAAGAAAACAACCACCTACAACTCATGAAACTTTTTGGAATCAGAATAAACTTACGCCGTAATGCACGGTCGGCTCCAGCACAAAGCTGGTAAAAGACATGATAAGAACGCTCTCCATAAGATTGATAAACGACTCTTGACTGCACCAAACATAGGTCAGAAACAAAAGAAACAAGCGAATAAGAGGTACCTTTTCCAATAAATCTGCTCGTTATGCGTCGATAAACATGCACAGAAAACAAATGATAAAGCGGTTCAGTACAAAGGCATAATATGTTAGTTTCAGGCAGTACTAATGACAAACAAAGGAAGTAAGAATGAAAACAAAGAAGAAGAATGACAAAGAAAAGAAACGCTGAAACTAGACAAGCTACCAGATGAACATGTCAGCTCGCATTGGGCTCACAAGTTTGAATCTTTGCCCCAGATATTGTCCCAGAGTCATCAAAATAGATGTCAATCAATTTTCCCTGGAGTGCAGGAAAAAGAGTTGTAAGTTAGAAGCAGCAACAAGAGAAAGACTTACAAATCGGCTGGAGTTGTCATTCCTTAGCGTCTTTGCATTCCCAAAAGCTTCAAGTAACGGGTTACTTTCAAGGATTTCATCCTCTACGCCACGTCCTCCACCAAATGTAGCGATGTACTGCATAGCTATTTTTGCTGTTTCCGTCTTTCCAGCACCACTCTCGCCACTGAAAAGTATCAGCATTGAAACAGTGCATCACATAAATTCCAGGCAACTCCTCACCTTATAACAACAGACTGGTTGATTCCATCTGATAACTAGCTTGATCAGAAACATAAAACATGAAAAAAAAAGAGTGACTGATACCTCTAAACAAGGCCGTGCATGCGCTGTCTGTAATTGCAAAAACATGTGGATCGAAGTTCTTAGACACCTTATCACGATACATTTGAACACGCTCGGCACTGTAGAGTGGGATTTTCTTGAACGGATTGAGAGCAATGAGCACCGGCCCAGCATTTGTCTGTGGTCGCCAAAAGAAAGTTATAGAAAAAGAAGGAAAGAAAGCTTACATAAATATTGTCCTTCTCAAAACGAGTTTTCAAGTCGTGTAGAACAGAGGGCTCGTTCAGATAGCTCAGCTTGGTCAGATCATCGACGCCTTCAAGGATATCGGGATTTGCAGGATGGATATCCTTCACTGCAAGTTCGAGAACCTGGAGAACAAGCACAAAGCTATCGATAACAAAAACACGCCGAAACTTTCCTATGTACCTCGTCATCGTTGGAGCTACAGATCAAAGATCCATCCTGTAAGATCGACTGGACACTGCCAATCTCCCAGTTTCCAGTGGAAGCTTTGAACCAGATCCTAGAATGCTGTAACATCGAGTCGAGCTCGTCAAAAGTTTAGAACAGAGAAGAAACAAAGATTGATAAGTACCTTCTCGAGTACCTGTGTGGCTGGAGCTTCCTGAAAGCCTTCTCCTAAAGACTCATCCATGCCGACTTTACACGAGGACTTTACCGGCTCGCTGTGTTCTTCCAAAGAACACACATCAAAGAACGCTGTGGATGGAGGAAGCTCGCAAACCGGTCTTTGGAGCAAAAGAGCTCGATCGATTCCCACGCGATCGTCGCGGACGATGCGCATTGTTTCGCTCCTCTCAGTTCTTCCTCATCAAAACGCCGCCCTGCAAGGCGAGATTTATTCCCACGCAGTTAGCATCCAGAGCCGGCTTCCGGAATTTTATGAGCGAAGGGAGAGAGAGACAAGGGGGAAAGAAACAAAGAGAGCGACTGTAGTGGACCACACGCAGTGAGACAGAACACAGGAAAAGAATCAATCAAATGAATCCGACCGACCGGTCGATCGATCGAGCAATGCATCAGCATCACATCACCGCTCCATCGCAGTATAGAATGGATCGACCGAGGATACTTGAGATTTGCCGGCCTGGGCACTGTTCTTCCTTCGCGTTGCCTTCGTTTAGGGCAAACAAGCTTCCTTTTTAGGGCAAAAACAGGGCATATTGGGATGGTCTCAAACTTCTCGCGGAGGTCTGCCGCTGCGATTCCAGCCAAGAATCAGGCATTCTCAAGCCCTGGATCCTTGAGGAAGGTATATCGACCAAAGATCCAGGTCGCAGCGAGCTCCAGCCCTTCGCGCGACGATCCACAGGCTCCAGCTCGATCGAAATCGAGCGTTTTCAAGGGAGTGATCGATCTTTCCGGTGGCGGCAGTAGCGGCTCCCGTGCGGTGGCGAAGAAGGAATGCGTAGCATCGCCATCGAAATCCATCGCTACCGATCAACAGCTCCAAAGCTTGGGGAAGAATTTGTAAGCAAAGTTTTTCTCTTTGCTCTTTTGGTTTTTACTCTCTCTGTAGAGTGAGGATCCTTCGACACCAAGCGGTGGAAATGGGATTGAAAATCCGGAGTGATGGCTACTGCCGGATGAATGATCTTCTCAAGCTGCAACCGATGAGAGGTCACTCCATACAGGACGTCTTGAAGGTTTGTGGAAACTTTTCTTTTTTCTTTGTGTGTGTGTGTGGTTTACTTAAGATCAATCTTTGGCACCAGGTTGTGGAGACGGATCTAAAGACCAGATTTTCCACTACTGTCGAGAACGGGATTCTCTTCATCAGAGCTAACCAGGGGCATTCCATGAAGGTAGATTTTTTCTTTTGTTGCTAGAAGTTTCTTAGAGCTGAGCCAGTGAATCAACAGGCTGTAGTCACGGAGAAACTCCTCGAAGAGATCGAGTCTGCTGATCAAGTTCCAGGTACTTTGAAAGGTTTTTGAAGATCTTGCCTCAATGATCTTGATTCTTTGGTGCCAGTGTGTGTTCATGGGACGTTCAAGAAAAATCTCGCGAGCATTCGGCGAACAGGGCTGTGTGTCATGGGCAGAAACCATGTCCACTTTGCGACTGGTTTGCCCCGGGACGATGGCGTCGTTAGTGGTAACGTTTCGAGGAAGAGATAACACGAAAGTTCTCACAATGATCTCTTTGTTCTTTAGGAATGAGGAAAACTTGCGATGCTCTCATCTTCCTCGACGTGGAAAAAGCTCTCGATGGTAACTTCAAGCATCTTTTCTTTCATTCTCTGGGGTTCTAAATTTTCGATGGGCTTTCTCGCAGATGGCATGGAGCTTTTCATCTCGGAAAACCGTGTGGTGCTGACAGAGGGATTTGGGGGCGTTGTTCCTCCTCGCTACTTCTCCCGGATCATCGAGTGGCCGAGCAAACGAGTTTTGTAGATCTTCTCGCGAGAAAGCGGATCTTTGCATTCAACCATGAACCAAGAGTGTTACAAGCCAAGTCACGAGCGAACCAATCATCCACAGAACTAGAACAAACACCAAAATCCCAGCCACTATCGTTGCAATTGGAGGTCCGCTCTTGTAATCGCTGGTAGGTTTTGATTCGTTCTCCGCGGAGCTCCCATCAGAGCTGTTCGTCGCTGAGAATTTTTGCACTTGCCTGTGATCCAATGGCACAATACCCCGAAATTTCAAGCTCCCCCGGCTGACTTGCGCGAAAATGGAATGATTAATGCCAAATGCGGGTGAACGCGAGCGAATCCTGCCGGAATCGGGACCGCCCAGCACCGATTTGAGCTGCGCCGGGCACGCGATGGCGAACGCCATGAAATGCTCTGTTCTTAGGGCTCTCACACCTTTTAGGTTCATGTGATTAGCATATTCCAGGGTTTATGCGGGGTTTTAGGGTTCATGAGGCTTTGGGGGAGAATGGCGCGCATTTGGAGGCGGCGCATTCGATTCCATGTCGCGATCGATGCCAGGGAGATCCACAGCAGCAGCATTCTCCAGGGCGGCCGCACATCTGAGAAGCGAGGTAAATGGAAGGCACAGAAGGAGCTAGATCAGCTCAAGCCACCGCCGCCGCTGCGCATCGGCTCTACCGAGTACGCCGACCGGCTCAAGCGCTGCTGGGGCGAGTTTGGGCTTGGCTACGTCAAGATGACTCACGAGCGGATCATCGACGCCAATCTGGAGCAGGAGAAGGAGACGTTTTTGGGGAATTGCCTGGTGCGCGCCTATGGCCGATGCAAGAGCATCGACGACGCGGTGGCGGCCTTCTCCGAGATCGCGGAGAAGAACGAGTACTCGTACGCGATCATGATGGGAGCTTACCAGGAGAACGATCTCCACAAGAAGGCTCTCCAGCTCTTCAAGAAGTCGATCAACGAGGAGCTCCAGCAGAACCAAGCCACCTACGTGACGGTTCTAAAGTCGTGCGCTCATCTTGGAGAGGATTACCTCGAGGATGGTAAGGAGATTCATAGGCACGCGATTGCTCAAGGCTTTGGTACTGATCTCGTCGTCCAAAACAGCCTCATCCACATGTACGCAAAGTGTGGGAGCTTCAAGTTTGCGGCCGGGGTGTTCGAGAAGATGGAGCCCAAGAACTTGATATCCTATACGTCGATGATCCAGGCTTACACACACACTGCCAAGCACGTCGAGGCCTACGAGCTCTACAAGAAAATGCTGTCCGAGGGAATAATGCCGGACATCTACGCTTACGCCGCTGCTCTAGCCGTGTGCCCGACTATCCGAGAAGGAGAAGCCATCCATGTCAAGCTGGGAAATCACGAGAGACGAACTCCAGTGTGCTCCAACGCGCTCGTTGGGATGTATGGAAGGTTTGGGAGGATCGCCAGCGCAAAGTGGGTCTTTGATGGGATACGTTACAAGGACCTCGCGTCTTACAACAACATGATCGCGGTTTTTGCGAAGTACGACGATGGGAGCAAGGCTATAAGTCTCTACATCGAGATGGAAGGCAGGAATCTCGAGCCAAACTTGTGGACTTTCACGAGTGTTCTCGACGCCTGCTCAAAGCTGGGAGCTCTCACCGAAGGGAAAGAGATTCACAAGAAGGTGAAAGGAGGTGACCAGCCGACCGACGTTGCTTACAATACTGCGCTTGTCAACATGTACGCCAAGTGTGGCAGCACTCACGAAGCCAGAGCCGTGTTTAACGACTGTGGACTGAAGAACGTCTTCACCTGGACGTCGCTCATGTCCGCTTACTCTCAGCCGGGGCAGTCGCAGTACCGTCTCGAAGCTTACCAGCGGATGAACTGCGAGGGAGTGATTCCAGACGACGTGACTTTCACAGCAATCTTCAATGCGTGCAGCCACTCGGGCCTGCCGGACGAAGGCTTGCTCTACTTTCGAGCCATGAGAGAGGACCACTGGATCGTTCCGCTTCAGCCCCACTACACTTGCATGATCGATCTTCTGGGACGGGTTGGCCGGTTAAGAGAAGCCGAGGAGCTCGTCCGCACCATGCCGTATTCTCCCGACGTGGTTACTTGGACGATCTTGCTGAGTGCTTGCAAAGTCTACGGGGATTTGAAGATCGGAGCTCGGGCTTACAAGCGGATAACCGAGCTGAATCCTCCCGACTCGGGGCCTTACCTTCTGATGGGAAACATGTACGCAAAGGCTGGAAAGTGGGCAGACGTAGCGGAGGTGAAGAAGATGATCAAACAGAGAGGTCTCGCAAAGCCACCCGGGAAGAGTATGATCGAGGCACAGCGAAGAATTCACGAGTTCGTGTGTGGAGATACTGCTCACCCTCTGAACCAGGAGATTCGTGCTCGGCTCCAGGAAGTCCACGAACAGCTTTCTCATGCCGGATACGAGCCCGACACGAAAGAAGTTTTGGTGGACGTGAACGAGGAGGTGAAGCCTGAGTTGCTGCTCTTTCACAGCGAGAGGATGGCTCTGGGGCTGGGACTGTTGACGTCCGACGCAGGAGCGACGCTACACATTGTCAAGAACCTCCGAATCTGTCCCGACTGCCACTCGTTTTTCAAGCTGGTTTCGAAGATGTTACACCGAAAGGTTCTTGTCCGGGACTCGCATCGGTTTCATATCTTCCAGAGAGGCTCTTGTTCGTGCGGTGATTACTGGTAGAAAGAGACCCAAGCTGCGGTTTTTATCAACTCATAAGCCCGAAGGATTCTCGTTCCAAAAGGTAAAATTCCAACGAGAGAGAGTAAGTCTTTTCTTTGCTTTCATACTTGTAGGGTTCTCAAGGCGTTTGTGTTGGTGCAGGATGGATGCATTGGCGACAAGGATAGCGCCTAGAATGCACTTAACGAGCAGCGTATCATTTTACGGTACAAAGACCGAGCTTAATTCTCGAGCGCTTGTGAGAATTCCCCGGAGGAAGAGCTGGGTTGTGTTGGTTTCCGGCAAACAACGAGGATTTCCAGAGCAAGGTAAGTCACGCAGAGCAAAGGCTGTTGTGGAAGAGCCACCGAGGAAAAACTGGTCGCCGACGATTCCAAATCCTCCTGCTGGTTTTATCCTCAACGACGCTGGAGAAGTTGTACTTGTAGCTCCTGCAAACAAGCGTGTCGTGGATATGGTAAGCTGCAAAATGAGAGTTTATTGCATTCCAAAGTATTTTCCTCTCGATGGTTCTTATTTTTTGCCTCGTAGATCGATCCGGAGACAGGGAGATCGCTCGAGTGTTCAGTGCGAAGAGCATTTTTGAGCTCCAGCGGACTCCAGTGTTTGCTTTTGTCGCCTCTTGATACGTAGGTATTGTTTTCTTCACAATTCCCGAGTTTGTGCAAGCAGGAGCTCCAGATTTGTGTTGCAGTCCTTTGCAAATCCTCAAGTATGACGAGGAGAATGAGGCCTTGAGAGAGGCAAGCACGCGATGTTTCTATTCTCTTTACCTTGAGTTTGATCTTTCCTCAGATAAGCGATGACGAACTAGAAGAGCTAATTCCAACCGCGGAGTACGCTCTTGCGAAGAAGAGGCTACATTTTGTGTTTAGCGGGTAAGATTTTCTGGACAAATTCCAAGACTGTTTTTCTTGTTCTCTTTGGATATTAGATACTGCCTCACTGCTCGAGGATGTTTTTGTTTCACTGACAACGATGTTTTGGAGCTTGAAACTGGTACAGCTACAAAAACTTGTTTCTCCTTTCCTCGTTTTTTATGCTGCTCTACAGACGGATCCATCACTGAGGGAGTAGAAATCACAAGCTTTCAAGTGGTAAACAGCAAGAACATCCCTCAAAAGGTTGGCAGCGTTTTTTCTCATGCTGATCATTCCAGGGAATCAGCGAGTTTGTGGTCTTCACTCCATTCGACCCTCTTCTCTTTGTTGCGTGCAAGGTAACAGCTCTACGTATCTATCGGATTGATTGATAAAATGGTGTTTTTTTTCTAGCAGGACGAGAGTACGGGAGCATTGACAGTGGCCGACGAGGTGAGTAACAGATCAAAACTTCGAATGCAATCGATCGTCGCGTGTGTTTACCCGCAACACGATTTTTCAGGACTTGATGAACGATCTCGGCGTCGTAAATGCGATGAAAGATGAGGCAGAGTTCCAACAATTCGTGGTCTAAAATCTAGCTTCCATGTTCTTCATTTCTTCGATAGTTTAATCATTCTGATCTTTACAGGAAGGAGGAGGATAAAGAACTCACGCAAGAACACTCTCGACTATTCTTTCCAAGCTTTCTTAATTAAATCAAACCTCCAACGTATATTTCCAGAATGTTCCAAAATAGCTCCAATCCATTTATGACTTTCTGCTGCCACGTGGCGTGCATCCAACGGCGGAGTAAGTCGGTAATGCATCGTTTTGATGTATATATAAAAGAGGGCTGGGGTAAGCTCCACACAAAGTAGTTCCTCGCGGCTTACAGGAACGCGGGTAGTGTTTATATCGATCGATCTTTCTCTGCGCAGAGGTAGCGATTCCTCGATTGGCGCTCCTAGGGTCTCACTGAAATTGCGAATTTCTTGCTCTCCAGAAGCTAGGGTCTTCGACGGGACGCTTGTGGCGCTTCCCCCAGCAGCGATCAGCGATTATGGCTTTCGTGATCAAGGTATGGACGTGAATCCCAAATCGCTTTCTTATCTTCGCTTCGTCTTCTTCTTTTCAGATAAGATACGAAGAGTCTCTTCGGAGGCTCACTGTTCCGGCATCATCAAACGGAGCTCCGGCGATTTCTTTTGCGGAGCTTCACTCGAAAATCTGTGACAGGTAGAAAGAATCGATTTTTTGTATGCTTGAACTAAAAAAAAAAAATTCTTTTGCCTTGCAGCTTTGGAATCCCTACTGCTTCAAAGCTGGTGATAACTTACGTCGACAAGGACAACGATGTGATTACTATGGCGAATGACCAGGAGTTGGAGGACGCTTGCGTGCTCCAGGGATTAAATCCTCTCAGGCTGCACGTCCGCCTGGAGGTTCCCCTTGGGAGCAGCTCCAGCAGCAGCGAAGGAGCGTTTGTTGGGGATATCAAACCAATCTTGGAGGCGGCTCTCAAGGCGTTTGACGCCGAGACGCTCAAGGAAGCTGTGCATCCTTTCCTCAAGCCCCACATGGTGACGGTGGCGGACCTTATGCGAGGTCTTTCCGGAAAGATCCGCGCTGAGTCGTCGACCACCACCTCTGCTGCCGAGAAGTCTGCTGCTGCGCCTGATGCTGTGCCTCCTCCGGCTGGTGATCGTAGCGAAGCTCCTCGTTCTGGAATGGAGAACGTCTTCCACCAGAACGTCCAGTGTGATGGCTGTGGCATGTCACCAATTGTTGGTCCACGCTTCAAGTCGACCAGGTAATTAACTTCTCTGTTTCTTTAATGGTTTCTTATGTGAGAATGGTTTTTTTCCAGCAAGCACGACTATGATTTGTGCCTGACTTGTTTCAACAACCTGCCGAAAGGCGGTCAGCTGGATTATACTCGCTACGACAAACCAATTCATCGTCATCACTACGTTCCTCCCGGGCGAGTGGTGAGTAGTAAAAGCTCCACTTAGTTTCAGTGTGTTCTTAAAAAAATTTCTTTAAAGCAGGGAAGATGCCCAGCTGCGTTTGGGCCGAACCGCTGCCGCTCTGCATGGGGACGTGCGGGTGACTATCATCGTCACTCGGAAACAGAGTTTGCTCCAAGACCGTTCTCTCCGTTCTCTCCGTTTGGCCGTCCGATGGATATGGCGTACGCCAAACCGGACGGCCGCTTCGTCTGCGACGTCTCTATCCCTGACGGGACTGAAGTTAGCCCCCATACTCGCTTTGTGAAGATATGGAGGCTTCGTAACAGCGGCAAAGTTGCCTGGGCACCCGACACTAGACTGGTGCGTGTAGGCGGCGACGAGATGGGAACAGTGTCGGCTGTGTCGCTGCAGGTATGTTTCTTCCTTTGATCTTTCTCGAGTGTTCTAATTCAGTCGTTTCGGTTTTAAACAGACCGAAGGTGCTAGCGTTCTTCCAGATGCGGAAGTTGAGGTAGCGGTTGATCTCGTTGCCCCGGCTCGAGCAGGACGATATGCATCGTACTGGAGGCTTGTAACACCTTACGGTGTCAAGTTTGGACACAGAGTTTGGGCACTGATCCAGGTACTAGAGAGCACTTGAAGTTTCGATGTGGTCAATGGCTGATTATTCAATCTTTCTTGGCTTGCAGGTCACGCCTAACGCGTCTGAGAGCGAAGTCGAGGTGAAGGCCGAAAAGCCTGCTGGGGAGGAGAGTCCTGTCGTCGTGGTAGACTTCGATGACGAAGCGACGAGCGTGGAGGTGGAAGTGATGGTGGGCGAGGCTGTGCCGAGTGAGAAGAGCTTTGAAGGCGAGGACTTCAAGGCGGATGAAGTCGATGACGGGTTCTCTTTGGTGGAGATGCCGAAAAGCGAGGAAGCTTCGGCATCTTCGCCACCGATGCCAGAGCCCGAGCCCGAGCCCGAGCTGGAAGCGGCGGAGGTTCCTGCTACTCCACTGGCCTCTGCGGAGAAGAGGGTGACTCCAGTTACTCCGGAGGCCTCTCTGGAGAACCAGAAGGAGAAGGCGGCGGTATTCTTCCAGACGATGGGTTTCACCAACAAGAAAGAGCTGATATACGAGCTCCTGGAGAAGAACAACAATGACTTCCACCGTACGCTGGATGATCTCGTTGCTGCGGCCGAGTGGGATCCCATCTTGGAGGAGCTCCAAGAGATGGTAAGCGCAGATTTTCATTTGCAAAGCTGGGATTCTAATTTTTCTCCTTTGCAGGGGTTCTATGATACGGAGATGAACCGCAAGCTGATGATCAAGAACGGTGGGAGCGTGAAGCGCGTGGTGAAAGAACTTGTGCAGATGTACAAGGAACCAGCTCCAAAGCTGGCAGACAAGAAAGATTAGGACGATTCTCGTCGGAAATGCCCCCATAAAAAGAAAGATCTCTAAAAAGACCTCTGCAATAATTTTTGGAAATGATTTTTGATTTGAATAAACCGTGTGTGAATAAACCGTGCTTACATTTTATTAGTTATAGCTACATCATGTAATAATGTTAATTAAGAAAAAGCGTTATTGAAACTGATAAACCATGTTTGAATAAAATGACAAATAATTTCCTGAGTTAGTGGAAAGGATATATTAATTAGTGATGTAACTTAAGTAAATGTATATTAATCATTAAACCCTTATTTATATACACTTTATTTAAGTAGCATAGTTAATGTTAGGTTAATTTTTATAATGGGACCACCTTCCAGGAGTCATTTGTCAACTAGTCCCAGCGTTCAGTTTTTTTGCCACCGACAACTCACCTACGCTCTACAGGGAAGGAAGGACACTTCTCTCTAATTCTCTCCTTTTTATTTATACGCTCGCAAAAATCTACCCCTCTTTTTTACACTGTTTTGATCCGTTCTTCTAGTCTGTCATCGCTGGCCACTTTGGGGAGAGATAGAATGGTGGTAGTGTGAGTGTGAGTGGAGGAAGAATCAAGCCAAGCAGCCACAAGATCGCCATGAAGAAGGTAAGGTACTACTACTGAATCTCCAGTTTCTCTGGCTATGGTGGAAATGCTCTATCCAGAGGGATCTGTGGCTTCCCTTATCTCTTCTCTCTGTCCCAGGTCACACTCAATCTGTGTAGCTCTTGCAAGAAGTGCCGCGAGAAGGTCCTGGAGATCCTCAAGCACACCGCAGGTTCTAACTCCATTCCTTACTTCTCTCCTGGATGATGGATAGATCGATGCTGTAGGTGTCAAGGAGGTGGAGTACGCCCCCAAGAGCGGCAAGATCGTCGTCACCGGCGAGGTAACGCTCGAGGACATCCTCGCGGTGGTGGAGCGATTCAAGAAGAAGAAGAAGCTTGTCTTCCTCTCCATCGAGGATCTCCCGCCGCCGCCAGAGAAGGAGAAGGAGAAGGAGAAGGAGAAGGAGAAGCCCAAGCCCAAGGATCCCCCGCCCGCCGCCCCCACCCCTCCATCGCCCAAGTGCTGCGGTGACGCTCACCACCGCCACGGCCACCACCACTGCAAGTGCCCGTGCCACCACCACCACCACCCCAAACCGCCGCCGCCAACGCCATCGCCACCACCGCCAGCTCCAAAGGAGCCCAAGCCCCACCATAGCTGCTGTGACAACGAGCACCACCACCACCACAAATCTCCACCGCCAACGCCGTCGCCACCGCCGCCAGCCCCAAAAGAGCCCAAGTGCTGTGACAACGAGCACGACCACGAGCACCACGACCACGACCACGATCACGATCACGACCACCACCACCACCACCACCACCACGACTGTCCTCCGGAGATCCCATTCTGTCCGCCCACCATCATCGTCACTGGCTGCGACGCCAGCGATCCTCCCTGCTACAGCCAGTACGACCCGGATCCTTGCTGCGGCGGCGGTGGAAGAAACGACTCGATGGATCTGGCAGTGCTCATCGGACTGGTGATCGTCGTCATGGTCCTCCTAGCATCACTCAGCTCCTCCTCTTCTTCCTCGAGCACCTCCGAGGCCGCTGCCGAGGCTGTGAAGGGATTCTTCACCTCCATCGTTGGGACGCTGGGATCTCTCTTCCTGATCATCCTGGCGCTGTTCGCGATCATGGGCTTCCTCTGCCTGGTCGATCCGAGGCCTTCCCAGTCGTGTAAATGTTGAGTCAACCTTAGTCAGCGGCCCAGTCCACGCCTTAGTCAATGAAACCTTTTCTTCTTTAGTTGTCTGTGTTCTTGAGAGGATCACATGATGGAGTGAGTGCCTGCCCAGTTTTTTCAATACCCGTGCGAGTTTTTTAAGCTCTGCGCGATTGATTTCCCTGCAGCTGGGACGCATTGGTAAGTTCGAACCGACCAATCGCGAAATCTATCTACCTACGAGGAAACGAAAAAAGAAAACGCAGCTAGATCGCAACGGAAGCTTTGATGGTCGACTGACTGACTGAAGCCAGTCAGGCAGTCGTCCAGAAATCTGGGAGCTACCGCTTTGTCTGCGACAGAAATCTCTCTACCTTGGAAGCTAGCCAGAAATGGTACTCCGATGCTCTCACAATCGGGAAAGCCGCAAAAGCACCTGGAGCAAGCGAAAGTTAGATCCTCTTCGAAACAAAACTTTGGCAACAACCGGAGAAAACGACTCGCACGAGAACTACGAGTCAAACTTTAGGCCCCGCGCATCTGCAAGACGAGTGAGACCCTTTCCCTGTGCAAAGACAAAAACATATTGATACACTCACGTTAAAGTTGCTGATGAATCTCGAGAGCTTGCGTTTGCAGCTGCCGTATCCAGCTCAACCAGTTACTTGTCAGATCCGCCTGGACCCCTCCCTGCACAAACCAAACTAGTCAAAAGAAGGAAAAAAAACGGAAGAAAACCCAATGCAAAGCTTACCAGACATTTGGCTCTTCAGTGCTCCCCCCTTTGAATCTGTAATAGTAGAGCGAAAGTCGTCAGTTCCACCGGGCATTCCGTCATGAAGCTTTGGAGCACGCAGGACTGGTTTTTGTTGCCGGTTTCTTCGCAGAGTTCCTCACCAAGTTTGCCAGCAGCACGTAGCCAGAACCATGTTTTGGATCCATCTCCACAATGGACTTGGCTGCCTGAGCTCCATGCTTGGAATCCGAGTGACTCCGACACCCGGCAAGCACGCACGTCCAGTCCAGAGCACTCGGCACAAACGGCATGGTGTAGATGAGCTCCTGCGCATCGTCCAAGCGTCCAGCGCGTCCCAGAAGATCAAGCATACAGCAGTAGTGTTGCTTGCTCGGCTTTACTCCAAAATCCACGCTCATAGATCCAAAGTAGCTCCTCCCAAGCTCAACTTTGCCTTTGTGGCTGCAAGCCAGGAACGCGGACACGAAGCACGTCTCGTCCGCGAGCTCCACCATCTTCATCTCGTGAAAGACTTGGATCGCCCGCAAGGAATCGCCGTTGTTGGCATAAGCAGCGAGGATGGCCGACCACGAAACTCTGTCAGGCTCCAGCATCGAATCAAATACTCGTCGAGCATCATGCTGGCGGCCGTGCTGCGAGTACGCCGATAGAACAGTCGTCCAGGAGATCAAGTCCCTCTGCGGCATTGCCCCAAAAAATACCACCACATCCTCCAAATGCCCATTCTGGGCATACCCTGCGAGCATCGCGTTCCAGCACCCGACCTCCTGCTGTGGCATCGCATCAAACAATCGCTTTGCTTCTTCGATGTGTCCGTGCTGGGCATAAGCCACCAGAATCGCCGTCCACGAGACGAGATCCCGCTGTGGAACCGTGTCAAACAACATTTTTGCCTCCTCCAATTGCCCATTCTGGGCATACGCCGCGAGCATTGAGTTCCAGCAGATGAGATCCCGCTGTGGCATCGCGGAGAAGAATGCCATCGCCTCATCCATCTTCCCCTTCTGCGCATACACCGCCACCATCGCCGTCCACGACACGAGATTCCTCACGGGCATCGCCTCGAACGTAGCTCTCGCGTCGTCAATCCGGCCACACTGCGCGAATCCCACCAGCATCGCAGTCCAGGAGATGAGATCGCTCATCGGCATTTCCTCAAACATCACCTTTGCCGCGGTAGGATCACCGCTCTGGACGAGTGCCACGATCATCGCTGTCGCAGAGACAAGATCTCTCTCCGGCATCGCAGCAAACATCCGCCTCGCATCACCCAGATTGCCCGATCTCGCGTAGCACTGCAGCATCGCGGTCCAGGACACCAAGCTCCTCTCGCCCATCGCATCAAAGACCCTCTTGGCCGATTCAAGATGGCCCCTCTCGGCAAATGCGGCAAGGACAACGTTCCAGGAAAGGAGATTCCAATCCGGCATAGCTTCGAACAACGTCATCGTGCGATCGATAGCGGCGGCGTGTGAGAGCGCAGTGAGCATCGCATTCCAGGAGACGAGATCGCGCAGCGGCATCGTATCAAAGACGCGGCCGGCGAGATCCAGATGCCCGGTCTGGGAATACGCCGAGAGCATGATGTTCCAGGAGATGAGATGCTGCCGCGGCATGGCCAGGAACAATTGCGCGGCCGATTCGACGTCTCCATTGCGAGCGTAGGCGCAGAGCATCATATCCCACGAGAAGACGTCCCTGGCGCTCATGAGATCAAAGATCCGCCGGGCGTACTCGGTGCTACCGCATTTGCCATACATCTCCACTAGCTTGTTGGCGAGGAAGAGATCGTTCTTGCGGCTGTCCAGGAAGCCCTGGATCGAGGCGTGGATCTTCTTTGCCGCGGATAGGGTTCTTGCGGATGCGATGAGATCCAGGCATTCTTTCCTCTGCATTTTGCCCCCTTTCTCAAGAACAATCCATGGATAAAATTTCCTGCCAGTGACCTTCGTTCGATCCATCGATGACCTCCTTCAACCTGATCAAGAACGATCGATCGTTCTTGTCAATGACCTCCCAATCCTGCCAAAGATTGTCCCTGCCAGCGGCCGAGAAGAAGATCGATGTGTTCTTCGCGAACAAACGAATCGATGCGTGTGGCAGATCCGGCAACGTCAGGCAGGCGGTAGAGACCTTCATCGGCCTGGGCGACGCAAGAAATCCCTTCTCCTGGTACCTCATCCTCTCGGCCCTGGCAAGAAATGGATGCCTGGTGGACGCCAAGCAAGTCTTCGATTCCATCACGCCATTCGCCGATCTGGGCGCCTGGAACACGATGCTGGACGCCTACGCGCAGGCCAGGGATCTAGATCACGCGCGAGAGCTATTCGATAGATTCCCTGGCTGGGATTTGAGAAGCTGGACCACGATGCTCGTTGCCTACGCGCACAAGAACCGATTGAGGGACGCGATGCGCGTGTTTGAAGCGATGCCGCAGCGCGATCTCGTGTCCTGGAACGCGATGCTCGCTGCATTCTCCCGGAGTGGCGATCTTTCATCGATCCAAGAACTCTTTTCCGCAATGCCGCTAAGAACCCTAGTTTCTTGGAGCACGATCCTGGTGTTCTACGCACAATCCGGCCTAGCGGACGCCGCAAGAACGATCTTCGCCGGGATGCCGGAGCACAATCTCTTCTCTTTCACCGCGATGCTCTCCGGCTACGCCAAAAGCGGGAATCTTGCTGCGGCGACGCTCCTGTTCGATCAGATGCCAGAGAGAGACCGCGTCGCATGGACGATCCTGCTGGACGCGTTCGCCGAGAGCAAGAACATCGATCTGGCGTGCCAGATCTTCCACACGATGCCTGAGCGAGACCTAATCGCCTGGACGACAATGCTCACCACCTATTCCCAGATAGGGCGCCTGGATCTCGCCAAGATCATCTATGACGACGCTCCCGCGAGGGATATCATCATTTGCAACGCGATGATCACAGCGCTGGCTCACAATGGAGGAGTGGATTGGGCGCAAGAGATCTTTCACAGCATGCCCCAGCGAGATCTCGTCTCATGGAACGCAATGCTTACAGCATTCGCCCAGAATGGGCAAATACACGACGCCAGAGAGACTCTAATTTTCATTCCAGAGCTCGACCTAGTCTCCTCCAACACGGGCCTTTTTGTCCTTGGAATATCCGGCAAGCTCGAGGAAGCCAAATGCCGGTTTGATTCCCTCCCAATAAAAAACCTCATTACCTACACAACAATGCTTTCAGCATATGCCCAGGAAGGGTATTTTAAAGAATCAAAACGAATCTTTTCCATGATGCCCGAGAGAAGTACGGTGTCCTTCAACGCACTGCTAACGGCATATGCGGATTTTGGCAGCTTGCGGCAAACACGACTCTTTTACGATACGATTCCTGCCCGGAATACGGCGACCACAAACGTGATGCTCTACGCATATGCCCGTTCGGGGCATCTTGTACTTGCGTGGAGTCTCTTCCAGATGATGCCCGACCGCGACATAGTGTCATGGACCACCATGGTGGCGGCATATTCGCGCCTTGGCCACTCACACCAGGGTCTCTATTTGCTTCAATCAATGAGACTGGCCGCGGAAGATCCCGACCAAGGGTGTTTCTTATCTCTAATGGCCGCCGCGAGCCACGGAGGAACTCTCCGCGATTCGTGGAGCTTGTTCCAGTCCATGATCTTCGATCACGGCTTTACCCCGACTAAGCAGCACTACTGTTGCATTGTGGATCTCCTGGCCCGAGCTGGGCGATGGAGAGACGCTCGCGAGCTCGTAGACACGATGCCATTCCAGCCGGGGGTCTTGGAATCGACGTGCCTGGCAAGCCGAGAGATCCCTGCGAAGCTCGGCCATGGCGTGATCGAAAGCCTGGATTCGCGAGCATCGAGCTATGTTCTCCTGGCAAATGGAATCATCTCTGGATCGTGCTAAAGTTTTGATTTTTATTGGATTCTTTGAGTTGGGGAGGAGTGAAGTTTCTAGAAGTTATTCGACGATGATCTCTACGTACCTCGAACTGATCAAGCTACTAGCAGCAGGAATCACAGTCGGAGACTTGGTTGTTGTGGGGGCAGAGGATCAAATTCTTGACGAGGACGATGATGCCGCCGGGGAGCTTTCCAATCTTTGCGAACTCGCTGGGCCATGTATCCACGCAGATGACTTGCGTTGGTGGCGGAGGAGGGGGCTCCTCTTTCGGCGGCTCCTCCGCGGGCTTTGGCGGCTCCTCCTCGGGCTTGGGCGGCTCGGGCGGCGCTGGCTCCGGCTCGGGCGGCGCCGAGGGTTGCTCCGGCTCCGGCGGTGGCGGTGGCGGAGGATCCGGCAGCTCCTCCATGGACTCCACCGCCAGGCACTTTCGCCGCTTGCCGCTAGCCTCCAGCACCTCGTTCGCCTTGAAGTCGCCGGTGATGATCAGCGTCGAGCCGTCAACTAGCTCCACTTTGCTCACGCCTGCAAAGAAGTTCCCTCTCACGGATCGATCAAAAAAGCGAGTTTTTTTCGTGGCTTCCTACCTGGGACCTCGCTGAGCTGCTTCACGAGCTTGTCCTTGCACTTGCCGCAGGACATAAAAACCTTCAAAGTGAGCTGCGAGAGGGGAGAGGAATCGATCGAGGATAAGGGGGGCCGCCACACAAAAACAAAGACAATGTAGATATCAGATGAAATCAGTTACACTGTGATCAGAGATTCCAAATACCTTCCTCATTGCTACAAGCGCGATTGATTGATTGTCTCCTTTCGCGGTCGAGAGAGAGAGAGAGACGAGAGGAGCTACTCGAGGGGGTGCCTCTTATCTCGCTCGAGGCAGACAGCCCCTTTATATTTCTTTTTCTTTTGCTTTTTGGCTCATAGGCATGCTAAGCAAACGCTAGAGCGCAAGCAAACTTGTGACAAAACACACACACAAAGGAGTGCCTTCCATCTTTTACCCGCGATACGTTGAGCTTTAGTAGTGCCAGGCGGGCCCCACTCTCCACGTCGCTGTCTCTTGAGTTGACTCTAGTTGACCTTATGTTGACCGTCATTGGCATTTTCTTTGACCGGCTTGACTATGTTTGACAGGCTGCTTGACTGTCTTTGACTAATTTTGACCTATATTGACCGTCGCTGAAGATTCTGTTCTATCCGTTTTTGGAGGAGCATCGTTAAAGGCTGTGGATTCTAAAGGCCGGAAAGGGGAAAAAGTGAGTGAGGTGGGCAATTGCAGCATCTTTACAAACATTTGGACCGTATGACGCGACCGCCACCTTCCTCGGTGTGTTCGAAAGAAATGCAAGCCTTAGGACCTCTTCTTTTTGTAGGAGAGGGAGAGAAGTGGTACTTTCACTTCTTTGGAATAAAGACGACGAAAACCTCTCCATGTCTCTCACTCTTGGATTGGGACGCGGACCAACCTGTAATGCAGTGAGCAAGAAGAAAAAGGTGTTAAAAATAAAAAAGACGGAATGTCGCCACACGCCGGCCATCTTGCTGATCCGATCCAGTCGAGAAGAAGATCTTTTTCTTCTTCTTCATGCCAAGTAGCAGTACGTTCTCCTGTCATCTCTGTCCCGCTCGAGGTAATCTCTCTCGATAAGCGCCTCGATTCGCTTCTTGATCACCGCCGGGTTTGGAGTGAATCGCGACTGGAGCTGCGCAATCACCTCGCTCACCAGATTGTTGTGCTCCATCCGCTGCCTCGACTTCATCACCCGGACGATGGCCGCCTCGATCTGCGGGTTCCGGTCGCTCTCAATCTTCTCCCTCGTCCGGGAGTTCTCCTCGCCAGTCTCCTTCTGCGCCGCCACCGTGCAGATCTTGATCTTGGCCAGCTTGCTCGTGAACGCCTCGTTGAACACGAACACGTCCATCTCGCCAATCTCCTTGCTCATGGGCTCTTTGCGGAGGACGTTCTTGCCCCGGACCAGCGCCAGCGACTGTAAGTTCCTCTTGAGCTCCGACGCCTGCTGGATCCCCGTCGCGTCCTTGATCTCCTTGTAGCTCAGCCGGTCGGAATCGTTGAAGAGCATGAGGATGCACATCTGGTACGTCGAGCAGCTCAGCGTCTTCGTAGTGTCATCGATGGTGAGCTTCAAGTCCGCTGAGCCGAGGTTTCCTTGCCAAGTTAGCCGCCGGCCCCTGTGCTCCATGAGGTAGAACGTCTTGAACCTCTCGCACAGCCCGTGGACCTCTCTCGGGAGTATGCACTGCGAGGACGACGCGTACGCCGGCCAGGATCCGGTGGTGAGCACCTGGACGTTGATGTTCATCGCCGCGTTGATGTTTGCCTGCATGTTCCTGAACCGCTGCATGAGATCCTCCGAGGTCCTCATGTCCTTGAGCATGGTCTCGATCTTGCTCGTGAACTGGTAGCCGCACACCGTCTTGATCTTGAGGATGAGGCTCCTCTCGAGCTCGTCCTCGGCGAACTTGGACAGGAGCAGCCGTTTCGCGAGGTGGTGCTTGTAGTACTTCTCAAACATGTCCTTTTCGTTGATGTACCGGAAGATGAGCATCGCCTTGTCCATGAAAGCTTCCGGATCGTCCGAGCCACCACTATCCGATTTGCCACCTTGCCTAAGCTTGTTATCCAGGAACAACGAAAGAAACTCCGGTAGCCTGCGGTTTAAGTTGACGACCTCTACGAAAGCCACCTCCAAACCCGCGGCCACGGCCTTGTTTCTCTTGAACGAAGAGCTCACTATCGCGTCGTACTTCTCCCTGAAACTTAGCAGCAGCTGGATGAAAGCCACCGGATCCTTCTGGCGCTCGGGATCCTGGACGAGCTGCGCACCGTTTGCTTTGATATGCCTCGTCAAACCATCTAGAATTTCTTTCCCTCCTTCGTCCCAGTGTTGCAAAAACTCGTACATGCGTGCCAAGTCGTCCAACCTGTCCTGTGAAAGCATGAATTCGAGCCCCGTGTTCTCCATATCCACCAGCTGCTTTATGTTCTTCCCGACGAAGATATCCACCACCACCCTGCTGATCTTTGGCCCAGTTTTCTCCGAGAGGTACCGCGACACTCTCACGCTTTCCTCCTTGAGTCGTCGCTCCACCCTCTTGAGCATCGCGGAGCAGTCCCCGCAAGCCATCAGCTGCTGGCTCTCGATCGAGTAGAAATCCTTGGAAGCCGCGATGAATGGTTCCTCCACCACGAGAAGATATATCTTGTAGTCGAGCTCGATGAGCATTTGCACAGCCCTCCTCATCTTGCTCCTGTCAATCATCTCCCCGGACCTTTCCTTGTGGATCTCGCCCAGGAGAAAACCCGTGAGCGCGGCTTGCAGCTTTGGCGAGCTCACCACCTCCACCTTCCATAGCTCCAGCCCCAAGTCATAGACGGACCTCTCCCTGTACCGGATCACATAGGTCCTGTCCATGCAATTCAGCAAAGCCCTGATCAGCTGGAGCGCTCGCGAGAATTCCAGCCACTTCTCGTCCAAGACCTCAAACATGGATCCAGTGTCGGCGGCCGCGAACACGCCATCCCGGTAGACCGCGAGGTTCCGGACGAGCTCTTCGCGAAACATCTGGTAGAGCTTGGCGGCGTGATTGCCCTGGCAAAGATTAAAGGCATGCCTGCCATGGAAAGATCGCCCGATCGATCAAACGAGAATCCCAGAGATTTTACCTGTAGAGCTCCTCGAAGCTGAGGCCGCTGGCATTGCTGCGCCGAAATATCTCGCCGATCGCGTTCTGGAGCACGCGCGAGCTACCCTGCACATCGATAGGGCAGCGCCTTACCACGGGATTGATCCGGATCTTCTTTGGCGCCGGCGCCTCGATCGCCACCGCCGCCGTCTTGGAGCGCACCCCTCGCTTCGCCGCCGCCATGGATTGAGGGGAGCTTCTCCCTCACAATGCTCATTGAAGTTTTGCCTCCTTCCTTTAAAACCTTTTTAAACCGGCATATTCTCAGTACAAGCATTTTCTATGTCTCTAGTGTTGTCATGTCTATAGTTTGATGAAATTGCGACTATCATGTCTATAGTTTGATGAAATTTCGCCGGAGCTTTGGAACGAAACGGCAAGTGAGAGAAACGCGAGCTTCGTTTTGCTGGAGAATGGATGTTTTTGGATCGAGAAGATGAGTGTTAGAGACCTGAAAATCAGCCACGGTTTTTAATCGAAACATAGAAACTGGGAAAAGATCGAGCTTACATTGTCGTCCAGACGATGCTCTCTGGATTCGTCAATCCCATGGAGATAGTCTGAGACTCGAGAAAACGATGAGCTTGGAAGGAAGAAGGCTTTGCAGTTACCTTGATAGGCAGCATCTTTGAAGATTAGCAAGCTTCCAGGCAGCAAAGCCACGCTTGTGTTCTCTGGCGCTTTTTCCAAATCCTTCGTGGCTTCGATCAATCGAAGGTGCGGTTTGAATCTCATCAGAGTTGGAGCGCCGAGAGAGAGAATTGCTACTACGGGAAAATAGCTTGGACCATCTTGATGGAGCTGCGAGCATGAACGAAAAGGAAATCATAGTTTTGGAAGAAATCATGATAAACTTACCATGATTCCCTGGCCCGGAAGATATTCATTGACGAGGACGTGATTGATCGGCGATGGAAACAGTCCTGTCACGCTAGAAATCTTCTCGGTGATCTTTGTGAGCCAAGAAGGCACTGTTGGAATCATCACATTCTCTTAGAAGTCTGCTAAGATAGAAAGGAAAAAGAATGAGCGAGAATGTACCAACATGGTTGAGGCACGAGGCCATTCGATTCGACGATTCCACCTGAGAAATCCTCTGCAAGATCAAGAAAAATCCTAGAAAACCGGGAGATTACCCCAGTTTTGGAGCCGCCGATTCGTGAGCGTCTTCCATTTCGAGCTAGGAGCGGAATTTACCTACACAGAAAATGGATGCTCCTCGATCGACCGATGAAGCGCCTTACCTGATGGAGCAGGAAGCTCTGCTCGGCGGCAGTGATGAAATCCGGAATGTAGAAGATGCTATCGACGCGTCCCACGGCATATTTGCTGAGCTCCATCAAGAACCCTAGAAAATATTTTAGGGTTTATGGAACGCATTGCAGAGCAGCCCCTGTTCGGAGGCGCGATCAGCTGCTCACTGCCCACGAGATTCCAGGTTTCTTCGTCCTTCTCTTGATTGATCGATTGATTCACTGTGGAGAATCTCTAGACCGTGAGCAACATCAGGGAGGTTCCAGATAATCAGGCAAGAGCTCGCAAGTGTTTCAAAATATTTCTTACAAACTTCTTTGGCGATAGGAGGTTTTTGCGGATGCATCACGCGACGAGAGCGTGATTGTGGAGCTTCTGGAGCTCAAGCCAGAGATTCCGGATGAGCAAAGCGCGTCATGGTTCTTGCAAGATCTTGCGAGCGAACAGGACGCTCTTATGGTATGAAACAATCTCTCTTTTTTTTTCTCATTCTCCGTGCGCTCAGGAAATGGAAAGCGTGAGCCAGCTCCAGCCAGGAGATGTTCCTTTCCTCGATCCATCGATTGTCAAAGGCGTCGCGGTTGGAAAACTGGTATGCTCTCTCGATTCTTTGTTTCTCTTCTAGAATTTCGCGATTTTGTTCTTCCAGAAAGTCTCCAAATCCAGGCAAAGTGCCGACGCTGCTAACATCGTGAGAGTAGGTTCCTTGCTTTTCTATCACGAGTTCTAAGATCTCATCGACGATATCACAGATTTATATGGCGAATCTGAGGCTGCGGAGCGTGAAAACTGATGTTCTAATCTCCGTCTACGAGCCACTTTACATAAGGTACTGCGAAATCGAAGAGCGAGCAGTGAGTGGTGATTTGATCTTTTCCTATGCGTTGCTCCAGTGCTCTTAGCGAAAGCGCTGCATCGGGTGGATCGGGATTCGCAGTTCCAGCGGCTGTGGCTGGCTGTTCTTCCGCGCTGGAAGTCTTCCAGACGATCCTTAGAACACTCAAAGTTCACGACTGGGCACTCTTCGTAAACTAAAAGTAAGCTTTCGTTTCGTCGATTGAGAAAGAGAGAGAGATCGAGTGACACTAGATTCGATCGATCTTTGGCAGTGATTTCGAGCGACACAATGGTGGCAATAGAGCGAGATTCGATCAATCTCTTCCAAAGTTTTCGAGCGAGACAATCGTAGCAATACACTTCGTCGCGAAGAAACACGATTTTTACCAGAGCTTGTAGCTTATGACATGGTGCGCATTGCTGAGATGGCACAAGAGGGAAAAAAAAATTAACCCGTGCGTATACAAAAATAAAGAAAGGAGAAGAAAGTGGCTATGGCGAACTCTTCGTCTGGCAAGCCCTAGCGCATTCTCCCAGTGGCGGTGTTCTTTCCCGCGACGCTACGAATTCTCGCCCCCGCGGCACTCCATGGCGACGATTCCCTAGGGCTGGGGTCGGGCAAAGAAACCCTAGGGGGAGAGCTTGGAGCAGATCGACCGGCCCCGGCAAAGATGAGCCAGCCGAAGAAGAAGCCGTTCAAGATCGAGCCCTTCAAGCACAAGGTCGAGATGGATCCCAGGTATGCCGAGAAGACCTGGAAGATATTGGAGGATGCGATTCACGAGATTTACAATCGCAACGCCAGCGGCTTGAGCTTTGAGGAGCTCTACAGGTTCGTGCTTTACTTTCCTTTGCCGCGATTCCATTCCATTCCATTTTCTTTGCTTTGCTCCTCGTGAATTTGCATTCTTTAGAGTAGATCCATTCTTCCTCCTTGTGCTAAAGTCTTTTTTGTTCTTCCTTTCTAGGAATGCCTACAACATGGTTCTTCACAAGTATGGAGAGAAGCTCTACGCGGGGCTGGAAACCACGATGACGCAGCATTTGCAAGAGTTTTCTCGGGTGATCGAGGCGGCGCAAGGTGGTCTCTTTCTCGAGGAGCTAAACGGGAAATGGTCCGAGCACAACAAAGCTCTACAAATGATCCGGGACATCCTCATGTACATGGACAGGACTTACGTACAGAACTCCAGCAAGACCCCCGTCCACGAGCTGGGGCTAAACTTGTGGCGAGACACGATCGTGAGATGCCCGACGATCAAGGACAGGTTGAGAGATACGCTGCTCGACTTGGTTCACAGGGAGAGGACGGGGGAAGTGATCAACAGAGGCTTGATGCGAAACATCACCAAGATGTTGATGGACTTGGGGGTGGCGGTGTACGAGGAGGAATTCGAGAAGCCTTTCCTGGACGCGGCCGCGGACTTTTACAGGATAGAGTCCCAGCAGTTTCTCGAGAGCAGCGACTGTGCCGACTACTTGAAAAAGGCCGAGAGGAGGCTCAACGAGGAGATGGACAGGGTGACGCATTATCTCTTTCCTCGGAGCGAGCCAAAGATCACATCTGTTGTGGACAGGGAGATGATCGGCCACCACATGAAGCTGCTTGTGGAGATGGAAAACTCGGGGCTTGTTTCGATGCTCACTGACGACAAGTATGACGACTTGGCTCGCATGTATAGTCTCTTCCGGCGGGTCACTACAGGGCTCCAGACGATTCGCGATCTCATGACTTCACACCTTAGGGAGGTTGGCAAGAACTTGGTCGTCGACCCGGAGAGGCTCAAGGACCCGGTAGAGTTCGTGCAGCGTCTCCTGGACGAGAAGGACAAGTATGACAGGATAATCCGTTCCTCGTTTAGCAACGACAAGACGTTCCAGAACGCCTTGAACTCGGCGTTTGAGTACTTCATCAACCTCAATGCCCGGTCGCCCGAGTTCATCTCGCTGTTCGTGGACGACAAGCTCCGCAAGGGGCTCAAGGGCGTCAGCGAGGAGGACATCGAGACGGTGCTGGACAAAGTGATGATGCTCTTCCGCTACCTCCAGGAGAAGGACGTGTTTGAGAAGTACTACAAGCAGCACCTCGCCAAGCGGCTCCTGTCCGGGAGAACCATCTCGGACGACGCAGAGAGGAGCCTCATCGTGAAGCTCAAGACGGAGTGCGGCTACCAATTCACGTCCAAGCTCGAGGGTATGTTCACGGACATGAAGACGTCCCGGGACACAATGCAAGGCTTTAGCTCGATGATGGCGAACTGCGAGCAGCCAGGGGAGGCACCGACGCTCTCGGTACAGGTTCTCACAACCGGCTCCTGGCCAACGCAGTCGGGCGCGAGGTGTAACTTGCCGACGGAGATCCTCTCGGTGTGTGACAAGTTCAAGACGTACTACTTGTCGACGCACACCGGGAGACGCCTCACCTGGCAAACGAATATGGGAACCGCGGACCTCAAGGCTACGTTTGGCAACGGTGCGCGGCACGAGCTCAACGTCTCCACGTACCAGATGTGCGTGCTCATGCTCTTCAACATGGCGGACAAGGTGACTTACAGGGAGATCGAGCAGGCGACGGACATTCCAGCCGCGGACTTGAAGCGGTGCTTGCAGTCTCTGGCGCTCGTCAAAGGCAAGAACGTCTTGCGGAAGGAGCCGATGAGCAAGGACATCAACGAGGACGACGTGTTCCTCTTCAACGACAAGTTCGCGAGCAAGCTTTACAAGGTGAAGATCAGCACGGTGGTTGCGCAGAAGGAGAGCGAGCCGGAGAAGCAGGAGACGCGGCAGAAGGTGGAGGAGGACCGGAAGCCGCAGATCGAAGCGGCCATCGTGAGGATCATGAAGTCGCGGCGGGTACTGGATCACAACAACATTGTGAGCGAGGTGACGAAGCAGCTCCAGGCCAGGTTCTTGCCGAATCCAGCGGTGATCAAGAAGAGGATTGAGTCGCTGATCGAGCGGGAGTTTCTGGAGAGGGACAAAGTTGACAGGAAGCTCTACAGGTACCTGGCTTAAGCTCCGGCAGGAATAAGTTTCGAGGAGATGGTTTATAAAGCGCAGCAAAAGTTTTGTGAGGAGCCAAGCCAGGCTTTCCTGTTTGGAGGAGGAAGACTTGAAGATCAACTAGAGAAAGGAAAGAAAAACGAGGAAGCAAGCGCAGTTCCTTCTCTTTCTCTCGCTCTCTCGATTCTTAGAAGCTCTTGTTAATTGCTTTCCAAAGTTCTTTCTTTTTCTTTTTCTTTTTTTTTTCTTTTTTCTTTGCCTTCTTTCACTCACGGGAGTTTTGAGTCTTGATCCAGGCTTTGCTTGAGAAATTCTAGAGGCCAACTTTTGTGGTTAAGTTGTCACTGCGAGAAAAAAAAAGACGATTGATCGATTCTAAACTTTAAAAAAGGGATTGTGTTGTGAGTCCCGCACTCCTGTCCAAAGCGAAGCAAAGAGATCCTTTTTATAAACTTGCAAGGAATGGATAGCTTCCAAGTTTATAAAAGCACTCACATACTTTTTCGTGGAGTATTAAAAGTACATGTGTATCTAGTGCTCATAATTATAAATCTTTCTATTAGATCACCAAAAGCTAGTATTCGAATATGCGATAAGAGATTAAATCCCTGGTTTGTTTTAAACACAGTGCCGTTTATTTGTTTTAACTTGCTAAAGACAAGAGAAATTCGCTTTTTCTTTTTCTTCTCTAGGTTATTTTGGCTATGGCTGTGTTGTGTTAGTTGCGGCGCGAGCAAGATTAGAGCGCGCTCCCACCGCTACGAAGAAATTCTCCTCCTCCATCGCTTCGCGCCCCTCTTCGCTGTGGAGACTTTCTTTCTCGGAGGTGAGCGATCTGCCAGTGTGCCGCATTTTGCCTCCCTTCCCCGTCCCGCGAATCTGAGCGTCGCGCGGATGAATTTCTTGGCCCTGCATTCTCGATTCTCCAGCGTTTGCTGCGGCGGAGCTTCTAACCGAGAAATTCGTGGCTTTCTTTTCTTGGTGAGCTAATCGCGTTGCTGGAATTTAGGGTGCTCGCGTCCAGCGCAAGAACACGCTGCCTCTGGCTTGGAAGCCGCCATAGTTTGGCTTGGAAGGTATTTTAAATCTTTATTTTCTCTGTCGGTGAGGAAGAGCCTCTAAATCCCATTCCAGGTACTCCATCGAGCAAGAATTCTTCCCCTCCTCTCTTTCTATCTCTTCAAAGCATGATGAGGAGATGAGGAAGATCATCGCCATGCTGCTTCATTCCAAGAGCTGAACTTCATCTTCTTCGTTCTTCCCGACGACCACCACTATCGGAAGCGGACCAAAGATGACCTCGGGATCTTCTCCGGAGCCGCTCGACTTTTTCATCTGGACACCGGAGGTAGACACGACTTCTCCTTGTGTGTGCCGTCTAACTCGTCCCTTTCGCTCGCGCCTCCAGGACGTTGGCGTTTGGCTCGAAGAGATCGGGCTCGGGAGTTACAGGGAGACGTTCAAGCAAAATGGAGTGAACGGCGAGTATCTCGATAACTTATCCTCGTTCACTACGGAACAAATCCTTCGGTTCATCCGGCGGTGTCATATGAAATGGGGGGACTTCATCACGCTATGTAAAGAGCTGCGCAACATCAAAGGTGAGTCAATGAGATCTCTTTTTTGTCTCTTGGAATTTTTGTTTTTCCATCTTCATGAGATGGAGCTAGAGCTAGCTTTGAGAAGTTTTCACGGAGATTTCGAGCTCACTGGCTTGGTTTTTGGATTGTCCCAGTGGCGTGCTTGCGAGGAGAACAGGAGGTTAGAACCCCGTGGTGGGCGCCCTCGTGTTTTACGAGCGTTTTCACGAGGCTAGCGAAGCACAACAGGCAATCCCGTGTTGTTTCCTTGAGATTCGATCCATGATACATAGTTCACCGGGTACGCAAACGTGATCTCTCTGTGCAAGGTCTAATCTTTTTTCTTTTCTTTCCCATGAAGGTGCAGGATTTAAGGTGTAGCGTTGTAAGACTGAAATCTCTCCTTGCAGCCATCTCCCGGCTGCGATCCAAGCTTCAAGAGGCTGAGTGAGAAAGGTTGGAGAGGTTGGCTCGTCAAGTCTCGAAGCTGCCATGGTCTAAAATTCCTTGCCCAGCAGAGACGATTGTCAGTGACTGATAAAGACATCACGATCGACACGATGCCAAGAAAGAGAAGAAGAGCCAATCTCAAAGTTCAGTGGATAAACTTATCCAAAAAAGACCAGCAATTACACTGTTGATTCGTACGTCAAAACCGGTCAAATAATCAGACCCGAAGTCGAAAGCTTCTAAATTTTAGGGTTTAAGTGAGAGCTAGGGCTCTTGGAATGGCGATTGGCGATGGCGCGATCCGGTACAGCGTCCTGCTTCCCACGTACAACGAGCGTGAGAATGTGGCCATAATCACCTATCTCCTCTTCAAGGCGCTCCAGTAAGCCGGCCGCGGTTTCGAATTGGCGGTGATCGATCTCGCTCTCTCTCGCAGGAATGTCAGCTTTGAGATTATCGTGATCGATGATGCGAGCCCTGATGGAACTCAGGATGTGGTGAGGCAGCTCCAGAAGGTTTACGGAGACGATCGAATTGTATGCATCTTCTTTCGTTTTTTTTTCCCCCTTGTTCTCACTCTGGCTATTGCTTTGTAAGCTTTTGCGACCGCGACATGCAAAGCTGGGCTTGGGTGAGTTTCTTTCTTTCTTTCTCTCCTCTTTTTCTTCTTCTCACCTTGCTCTTCCCAGGAACGGCTTATATCCATGGTCTCAAGTATGCTTCTGGTGAATTCGTGATCATAATGGACGCCGATCTATCTCATCACGTCTGCATTTCCTACTCTCGTAACTACGACATCTGATGGTGTTCTTGGTGTTTTGCAGCCAAAGTACCTGCGGAGCTTCATGAAGTAAGGACTCCTTTTGTTTTCTCCTTACAAATCTTTCACTTTGTATCTAGGAAGCAAGAAGAAACAGGAGCAGACATTGTCACGGGCTCCCGCTACATTCCAGGAGGTGGTGTTCATGGCTGGGATTTCAAGCGCAAGCTCACGAGCAGAGGAGCCAACGTACTGGCACAGACACTTCTCTGGCCTCGCGTCTCCGATTTGACTGGCTCTTTCAGGTCAGATGATTTGGCTTTCCAGTTCTGTGGCTCGCATAACGCTCTCTTGTCTTGCAGACTGTACAAGAAACCAGTCCTGGAAGATCTAGTAAAAGTTTGCGTGAGCAGAGGCTACGTCTTCCAAATGGAGCTCATCGTAAGAGCGTCGAGAAGCAACTATCGCATCGAAGAGGTATGCATTTGTTTCAGCTTTTGAGCTTGTTCTCTAAGGATTTTTTTTTTCATTGAATCAGGTGCCTATTACTTTTGTGGATAGAGTTTACGGCATTTCAAAGCTGGGAGGATCAGAGATTGTTCAGTATCTCAGAGGATTGATCCATCTCTTGCTCACGACGTAATGAAAGGAAATTATTTTTCTCTGATTGGAAGGAAAGAATCTCCTCGAGCACAGTGCGTCCAAAAAAAAATTCGATTAACAGTTCCATTTAAACGAAAGGTTTAACGGCTAGCTAATTTAGGGTTCTTCCCGGCTATGGCGCTTGTAGCTGTGGCATCGCAGTGGTCTCCACAGCGGCGGCTGGACCAGCCGCGCGATTGGGGATGGAGGAATGCAATGGTACGAGTGGATTCCAGGCGCCTCCGCGGAGCTCGGGCAGCCATGTCCGTAAAGATTTCTTCTTCTCCTTGTTCTTCCAGGTAGGGCATTTTGATCCCTGGCTGTTGGCTTAATTGTCACTGCAGTCTCTGGAATGATTGCGCAGGCGGAGAGCCGAGTGGGAATTCGACCCGCTGGGGATCTGCGAGCCAGCGAATGGAAATTTCGTCGCGGCCTGGGGAGATTTGTGCGTTGTTGCGATGAAAGCGATTGGCAATAAGCAAACTTCTGGAAAGCAATCCACTGGAAAGGGAATTGCGGGTATGGAAAAATTCTTTTCTTTCTTCCATATCGTGTATAGGTAGTTCTTACACATTTTCTTCTTTTCCAGCTGCCATCGAGGATAGCTCGATCGATTTCGGGGATTTCTTTCGAGGCAAGCTTCCCGGGAAGTTTTTACTGCTCTTGGGGTGGCTAGCTTTGTCAAGAGTCGGGACATATATCCCTCTACCGGGAGTTGACAGGGCAGCCTTCTCTGGAAGCATGACCGATAACAGTTTGTTTCGGACGCTCGACGCCTTCTCCGGTGGTGGAATCGGAAGGCTCGGTGTGTGCTCGCTCGGGATAGTTCCGTTCATCAACGCTCAAATCTTGTTCCAGCTGCTTGGATCGCTCTTCCCAGAACTCGAGAGGCTCCAAAAGAAAGAAGGCGAAGCTGGAAGGAAGAAAGTTCTCCAGTACACGCGCTACGCCTCGGTTGCCTTCGCCATTTTCCAGGTACTGTTTTTGCTGGACAACAAGAAGTTCTTGTTTGTTCACGAAGGAGAAACTTTGCAGGCTATTGGACAAGTTCTCTATATCCGCCCTTACGCCGACGACTTTAGCTTGGGGTGGATCTTCACTTCTATATCCCTGCTTACCATTGGTGCTGTTCTTACGTCCTACATTGGAGAGAGGATATCAGACATCAAGCTTGGGAATGGCACTTCGCTTTTGATTTTCACCAACATCATATCATCTTTGCCTGCCTCTGTCGGACGAACAATAGACCAAGCACTCAAGGATGCCAATTACGCTGGCCTTGGTACCATTGGTCTTTCGTTCTTCTTGCTCGTGCTTGGAATAGTTTATGTGCAGGTACGTTGGAAGAATGTCTTTGATCGCAGTTTCTTATTCAAGGCCATTGTTGCAGGAATCTGAGCGAAGAATTCCTTTGAATTATGCTTCGAGATACAGTGGAGGGCTTCAAAAATCTGCATACCTTCCGTTTAAAGTACGTGTTTTCTTGTCAAGAATATTATGACTGACTGGTTTTGCTCTCCAGATTAACAGCTCGGGTGTGATGCCGATAATCTTTTCAACATCGGCACTAGCTCTCACGTCCTCCGTAGCTCGATTCTCTGGAGCTACAGGTTTTAACAACATAGTAGCTACATTGAATCCAGGAGGTTTGTGATCATGCAATCTGCATCACCTTTGGATTTACTTAGTTTCTTCTTTGAACAGGATCATTCTACCTTCCCACGAACGCAGTGCTCATTGCGTTCTTCAACTATTTCTACACGTTTTTGCAGCTAGATCCTTCGGACGTGAGCGACCAACTTAAGCGTCAAGGCGCTTCTATCCCGTCGGTCAGGCCGGGAAAAGCCACAGCCGCATTCATCGAGACAGTAAGACTCATCTAGACTTGAAGTTGCTCTTATAACACTTCGCCGGTTTTATTGCTCGTCTAGGTCCTCACACGGATTTCAGTGTTGGATTCCACCTTTCTAGTGATCATGGCTGTGTCTCCTGCTGCCGTGGAATGGTTAACACACTTGACCGCTTTCAGGGGATTTGCAGGAACATCAATCCTGATTCTCGTCGGCTGCGCTACTGATACCGCCAGAAAAGTGAAAGCGGAGCTTATCTCGCAGAAGTACAGGGTCTTAGACTTCACCAGCGACACCTGATTTGTTCATTCTCTTTTGCTCAAGAAATAGTCTAATTGTCTGAAGTTTCAGATTAGGATGGAAAATGCTTCTGGAAATTCATATTTGCATCTTTAGTGCTCCAAAGGTAAGGCCTTCTTCAGGAACGAGATAATCAAACCACGAGATGTCGCTGTTTGTATATCGTTTTTCATTTTCCGGGTAACAATGACCTCGGGTAATAATGAAATACCTGATTAGAGGCAGTATTTTAAGAGCTAAGTGTCTAAGATAGCTATAATATGTAGCTAGAATACAGTGCCGGATATATATAAGATAATAACTTAATAGGAGAACTAAAGTCCATTTCGAAATGTTGGGGCACTGTAGCGACCATCACCTCCATGTAGAAATTTTTCTCTTTTTCTTCACTGTTTTGGTAATTCGAAAATGTTGATAGGTCCGAAGGTGGCAGCAAAACTATACGGAGCTTATCACGACAATCCAGCAAAGAATTTTAACACTTACTCCCTAACTTGGTTCTATAAGGTTCACTATTTAAACAAAACTTGTGGAGCTAGGGTTATTTATCTGGCTCGATCGTATTTCCTTAGCTACAGCGAATGGCGTTGGTAATGCTTGTGCTTTCCTTTTCTTTCTGTGTGTTTAGAAAAAGGGGAAGGCGAAGAAGAAGCTGGGTGATCAATTGTTTGCTGCCATTGTGAATGGAGAGAACAAAAAGCTTACTCTTAAGCAAATCTACTCCATAGCAAACGCAGAAGGGTTGTCGATTGCTCTGCTTGATGGACGTGGTTCTTGGTTTACTGTTTCAAGGATCGAGCGCTCAGCACTTGCTCAGCTCCTAACAATGGCCAATGAGGCCAAGGAGCTCGCCACCTTCCATCTCCAAGAGTTCGTATTATATTTCCACATGATTTTATGGCTTGTTTTTTTCTTCCAGGAGGTGGGGTGAAAGGGATAGAATTTTCTATGGTGCTGCAGTGCGAGAGAGTGACCGAAGAAAATATGGATCAGATGGTATGCCATGCGAGCTCATGACAGAAGAAGAGCTTTTGGAAAGAGCTAAAGAAGGGGTGAATATCTTTCATGGTGTTCTGCATTTTAAAAACCATTTTTTTTTTCTTTTTGTCTTTTTCTTTTTTCTTTTCTTTTGCAGCCACTTCCACCTGTAGTGAAAACCAGAACGAAGAAGGAGAAAGCTCTAAAAGGTTTGTAGCTTTTTTTCTACTGTCTTGGTTAAAGCCAGGAGCCCGCAGTTGAGATAATTGAGGACACTGAGCAACTAGCCCCAGAGAACACCAAAATCAAAGTGCCAGAACCAGCAGGTGACTAAGATATCTGTGTTTTGCCTTGTTTGGGGTATCTTTCAACTAACAAGCGGAAAGCAGCAATACAGAACGTATCCAAACGGCATTTGACAGGAGAGCTCATTGTTTCGGATCCACCAACCAAAGTGCCTCAGGAAGAGGAGCTGATTACCACCAGAGAGGTACCTTATATACTAGTCATACTAATTGTTTGCTAACCAGGAAGCAATAAATAAAAGCAGAGCATTTCGGCAGAAATGAAAGATGAGAAGTTGGAGTTTGGAGAGGTAAACCATAGACTTGTTTTTGTTAATCTAGGAACCTCATACATTTGTACTACACAGGGAATGGATTGGGATACTCGTACTTATGTCAGGGATCTACAATATTGCCATGGAAATGAGAAAAGACTAGATGTTACGGAGCTGAGAAAAGACTCGAGAAAAAACTATACAGAGCTGATAAAAGACGTCGATCCAACCTTGTATGTTTGCCAAAAACATGAGCATAGTATCGGCGTGTATGCTTGTGCCAAACACAGGAGCTTCTCAACCTTGTATTCTGGTGTTTTTAAAAACAATGTTTTCAAGATGTGAAGTGGGAGGAAGGTTTCAAGTGTAAGAATAGTTCCATTCATCGTTAAATCTTTTTCCAGCTCCTTGGATTGTTGTTCCTGGAGCAATTGCTTTCACCGTTTTCCAGACATTTTTCACCAAGTTCTTTCTTTTCTTTTCTTTTCTTTATTTGACCAACGATTAGATGCATCTAAACGTTGGTGGCAGCTTCTTGCGAGCATAGTAGGATGCACAATGCGTCCGCCCTGGTAAAACAGAAGCTGCCATCAACGGCCAAATCCTTAGATCGAGCTTCATACGCCCGAAAGCTGCGAGAATGCGCGAGCAAAGAAGCTCTTGACCATGTTTGCAGTGAGATCTCTCGCTCCAACTTCAGTGGAGACACCTCTCTGGGAAACATCCAGCTCGAATTGTACAGCAGCCTTGGATGCGTGGATGGCGCGAGATCTGCCTTCGACCGGATTCGAACACCCAACACCTTCTCCTGGAATCACATTATCAACGCATATACCCGGAATGGGCATCTCCAGCACGCCAAGGATCTCTTTGCCAGGCTGCCCATTCGAGATTCCACCACGTGGAACTGTCTCATGTCGGCATTCTCCCGACAAGGGGATCTTGCGACTGCCAGGTATCTGTTCGACAGGAATTGTTACAAGGATACTGTCTCCTGGAACGCTATGATTGCAGCATATACCCGAACCGGGCATCTATCCGACGCGATGGAGCTCTTTCACCGGATGAAGCTCGAGGGATTCCGCCCAAATCAATTGACCTTCCTAGGCACGATCAATGCGTGTTCTTCCTACGCCCAGGCGCGGACGGTCGAGCTCTCGATTTGCGAGGCCGGGCTCGCTCCAAATCCCGTGCCATCCACGGCATTGATCGAGACCTACGCCCAATTCGGCACCACGCGCGATGCCTGGCGAGTTTTCGATCGCGCGGCACCCCGGGACAAGATCTTGTGGACAGCAATGCTCTCGGCCTACGCCAAGAGAAGATCCATCGAGGAACTCAGGGCCTTGTTCCAGCGATTGCCCCACCACGACCTCGTCACCGCCACGATCGCGCTCTCCACGGTCGCTGCGGCCGGGAATCTGGGCGAGGCCGAGGAGATCTTCCATGGAATGCCGCACCATGATGGACTGTGCGAGACGAGCATGGCGGTTGCATATGCCCAAGCCGGGGATCTGCCCAAAGCGCGAGCGATCTTTGATTCCATGGCCAATCCACACGTAATCTCCTGGAATGTGATGATCACCGCCTACGCCCAGCGCGGCCACGGCCGCGAGGCCCTCGATCTCTTCAAGCTCATGGAGATCCAGGGCGAGCAGCCGACAATCGAGACGGTGAGCGCGATCTTCGACGCTTGCGCTGCATTAGGGCTCTTCCCACAGGGAAAGCTCCTCCACGCGAGCTTCGCCGGTTCCGGGATCGAGTCGGACCACGTCGTGGGCACCTCCCTGGTGGCCATGTACGGGCGCTGCGGAAACTTGGGCCGCGCTCGCGAGCTCTTTGACGCCATGCCGTACAAGAATATCCTCACCTGGACGTCCATGGTGGGGGCATATGCCCAGCACGGGCATGGCCGCGATGCCCTAAGGCTCTTCCACGCCATGGCGCTCCACGGTGAAGCGCCCGACGACATCGTCTTCAAGAATGTGATCTACGCTTGCGGCCAGGCGGGGATCTTCGCGCAGGTCTGGAAATATTTCCAGTCCATCCAGGGAGATCACGGCATTGCGCCAGGGATGGAGCATTACAAGATCATGATCGATCTTCTTGCCCGGGCGGGGAAGGTCGATGAGGCTGAGGATTTGCTCGAAGCAATGCCGTTTGAGCCAGACAGGATCGCGTGGACGAGCTTGCTGAGCGCCTGTAGGGTTCTTGGCGACAAGGAGAGGGGATCGCGAGCGGCGGGGCTGGCGACGGCGTTGGAGCCGTGTGGAGGAGGAAGCTATGTGCTCGCAACGCAGCTTGGGGAGGAGGACGTGTCTAGGGTTTGGGAATGCGAGCGAGGAGCTTGACGATCGCTGGGAGTTTCTTCAGGCAAGTTCTTCTTCCTCAGCAAGAACAGGCGGTCGTCGAGAGAGAGGCAGCGACAGGGATCTTTGTGGCAGCGCTCAAGGCATGCACTGGCACGAGAGATCACCAGACCGGGAGAAAGATCCATGGCGATGCCCTTGTCCATGGGCCTGGGAGAAGCATTTACGTGGAGAACAGTCTTGTGAGCATGTATGGCAAGTGTGGGAGAATGGCCGATGCTCGCGGTGTTTTCGAAGGGATGAAGCTCCACAGCGTTGTCTCATGGACGTCCTTGATCATGGGCTACGTCGACAATGGCGAGAACGAGCTTGCCCTCCAGCAGTTTTCGAGAATGCAGCAAGAAGAACAGTGCGCTCCCAACGAGAGAACTTTCGTAGCTGCGATGATGGCCTGTTCTAGCTCGGCAGCGAGAGAGCTCGGCAAGAAGATTGACGGGAAGCTACTCAAAGCCGAGAGCTTGGAAAGAGGAGCAAAGCTGCACGAACAAGCAGAGAAGAGTGGCTACTGCGAGGACGTGTTCGTGGCCAGCACTTTGATCGATATGTATGCCAAGTGTGGGAGCTTGGCGGATGCTCGCAAGGTGTTTGACAAGATGGTAAGTCCTACGGTTGTTTCATGGACGGCACTGATACTGGGCTATGCAGAGAATGGTGAGCCGGAGATGGCTTTGCAGCTTTTCCAGCTCATGGACTCCAAGGGCTGTCTGCCAAACTCCCGAACCTTCGTGGCTCTCTTCGTTGCCTGCGGCCGTCTAGCGACGAAAGAAGAAGGCAAGCACGATGATGGCAACGTTGTGAAGCCCATGTCCTTGGAGAAAGGAACACATCTACACTCCCGAGCAGCAAAACTTGGCTTTGATTCGGACATGTTCGTGGCGAGCTCGCTCATAGACATGTACGCGCGGTGTGGGAGCTTATCGAGCGCCAGAGCAGTGTTTGACGGGATCAAGACGGGACACGACGTAGTAACTTGGACAGGGATGATTCAGGGGTATGCAGAGAACGGTGAATCGGACGCAGCTCTGAAGCTGTTTCAGCAAATGAGAGCGTGCAACTGTGCACCGAATTCGCAGACGTACGTGGCTGTTCTTCTCGCATGCGGCAACCTGGCTGCTCTTGATTCTGGGAGGTCCATCCATGCAGAGATTTATCGAAACGGGCTAGAAGACAATCAGTTTCTATCGAGCCAACTGCTCGACTTTTACGGGAAGTGTGGGAGCAGCGGCATGGAACAGGTTTTCGACTCGCTTCCAACGAGAACTTCCATCACTTGGAGCGCTCTGATAGCAGGATATAGCTGCCAAGGGAGGAGCCAGGATGTGTTCCATGCATTCAAGAGCATGCGACAGGAGTGTATCCAGGTTGACAGTGTCACATTCTTATGCGTGCTCTCGGCGTGTAGCCATGGTGGTCTGGTACAACGAGGGAAGCAGTACTTTGCGATGCTCTCCGAGCATGGCATCACACCAAGCCTCGAGCACTATCACTGCATGGTCGATCTCTTGGGACGTGCAAATCATCTGGAGGAAGCACTGGCGATGATCGAAAACATGCCTTTCAAACCAACGTTAGTGACTTGGATGACGGTCCTGGGAGCTTGTGGGAAGTGGAAAGACGTAAAAACTGGAAGATATGCTTTTGAGTCACTGCTCAAGATAAATCCCAGCCACACTCCAGCGTTTGTGCTCATGGCTAACATCTACGGTAGCGTAGGAATGCTGGAGGAGCAACGGAGGATCACACCAGGGCCTTTGGTAAGCAAAAAAAATTATTAAGTTTGCTCGTTTACTTTGATTGACACATCTTACCTTCTAGGTGGTGGAACCGGAACTTTGAGCCCCAGCAATGTATCTCAGGGGCGAGCCTTGATGGATGGGAAGACGACGGTGGCCACGGGATGCAGCAGCCATGTTCCACTGAAAATCTCCCCAGTGATCAGTGGATTATCATAGCCATGGTAACGGCCAGAGAGATACGACCACACGAGGCTCCCGGAAGCAACCATTGCAAGCTCACTTGCGAATTTCGTCAGCTCCGAGTCGCAACCTTCTTCGTCGGCAATCTTCTTCTGCAAGGCCAGGATTGAGTGCTCTTCTGCTTGGATCATCTCACACAGCTGGTCAATCACATCCTGAAAGCTGATCCCCCTGGGGCCATGGTACGAGAGAACCGAGATCCAGTTGTCGTGATAATCGCCTCCGTAAAACTCCTTCCGGAAGGACAGCAGGTCATTGACGAGAATGACGTAATCAGACACAGAGTTGAGGAGCTCCCGGAAGGTTGGAGACTGGATTTGAGCTTGGTTGAGGCGGATTCCCATACAGAACTCGGTCATGATGCCCCCGAGGATGTCCATGAATCCATTGGCACGACGGGTGAGCTTATATTCTTCCGGTCCAGGGACGCTCTTTCTGGTTCGGTGGTGGACTTGCTTCCGGACACCTTCGAGTGAAGCTGCCAGGCAGTGCAAGTAGCGGTCCAGCAAAGGTGGCTCCATGGCAGCTCGAAGCTCTCCCAGAACTTCTTTATACAGAAGCAGCACAGGATTCCGGATAGCTCCATCCCTGGAATTTCCACTGCCAAGGTTGGTGATGGTGGTGTTGAGCCGAGGCATCTCTTCCTTGCTGCTGGATTCGAGCAAATCGTCGATGAGGAGGAGGGCCCAGAGATTCTTACCGGCCAGGACGAGCTTCTCCCTCTCGGCATTGGGATACATCATACAGGCGTACAGTCCGATCTTGGAGTGGATCATCTTCTTCCTCACACTCTGGTCAGTGATCTTCATCTTGCGAAGCATCCACTCGTCGATCTGGGGACTGATCGTCGCGGATTGCGGGTGGTAGGCGAACGGGATGTTGTTGGGAAGCTGCGGAAGCTCGAAGTGCGTGACAGTGGAGAATTTGGAGATCAAAGTGGCCTCCATTTCTATGCTCCTCTTTGATGCTACGAGAAAGATGGAACCAGGGGGGTGAAGTAACTTGCTAGCAACATGTGGTTACTATGAAGAATTGATGTTTTACAGCTTGGCACCATGCCTCCAGCTGGGCGCTGGTAACAAAAAGTTTATCTATACACATCCCCACCTTGGGCGCTGTAAAACTCTCGACCATCCTGTCCTGCAGCTCTGATCGCTCCTGCAGTATGAACATGGGAATCAATCATAAACGACACAAATCTGTAGAGAAGAAAGGGTGAACACAGATACCGGAGCCCCTCCTCTTGATTTTTATTTTACTCTGTCAATGCTGTCATGGGGCATCCTCCACACATAGATCTCGATTGGGAGTATACCAGATTCCATGATCATGATCCCAATGGGTACGTTGTGTACCAATAAAACCTTCCAGACTTCTATATATCTCGACACTTGCTCACCAACCAGGCCAAGGAACTCCATCTCCATGAGTTTGTTTTGTGATTACTTCTCACCTGATTTTCCATATTATATTCTTTCCAGGAGGTAGGATGAGAAGGATAATTTGCCATGGGGCTGCAGTGGATGCCATGCATGACGAAGGAGGAGCTTTTGGAAAGAACTTATTTTGTGCCTTTCACATTTTAAAAATCAAAGTTTTGCTTGTCACCTCTCAAGACAAAGAACGAATTCGCATAATTAACTGATTAGCCAAAACCGAATGAAATATTTGTTTGCTAGTGTACCTTTCAACTATTAAGTAGAATCATGAGAGGCAATACCAAGATGCGAGATAGTTCATTTTAGGATGGAAAGCTATGCATTACCTACTTTAGATTGGCAAAGTTCTATGGAAGATATTTGCACTGCTGCAATACAATCAGAAAACACGCAAAGACAATCAGATACAAGCTTCCCTGGAAGTTTGTACTGCTCTTGCTTCGTCAGAGTCAGGACATATGATCCTAGTTGACAGGTCCTGGAGGCTCCTATGATCGCTGCAATTTTCCAGTCCGTCCTTGAGCTTCACGATGTTAGAGACGACGTGGTGCCCCGAGGCGAAGCGTTCCACAAGCAGCACTCGAACCGCTGAATCGTTGACGTTGTTGCAGTCAATCTATATCATAAATTCAATTCTTTTCAACAGTATTATGCAACTATCTGGGTCAAAATCTGAATTTGAATGGGTCAAAACTTAATGTTCTCGAAATCTGAATTTTCCATTCATCTTCTCCTCAGTGCCAGATCTGTTTGCTGGGAAGTTCTTTAATCGAAAAGCTGAGTGCTCTGGGATCCGGGTCAGATCGTTTTTCTGACGGGGCCAAGGGACTCGGGCAAATCGGCGCTTTCTTCGCGAGTTCTACTCTAGGCAGTTCTACTCTAGGCAGTGTGCCGGCGTGTTCCAGCCTATGTCGACATGCGGGTGAGGAGCAACACGAATCCCGCACAGTTTCAGATAAACTTGGCTGACAGTCTTGCAAAGTCTCTTCAGCTCAAAGTAAAAGCAGATGCGAAGGGCTTGGGATCTCGAAGTCTCCGTGGAGAAGATCTCGCTGAAGACTCCCTGGAGTTCGCTCAACTTTTGCGGGAAAGAGCAGGATTCCATCGACATGCTTTCGAGGGCTACATGTCCGCTCTGCTAAAGCACCAGTCGGCTTTCTTCAATGGATTTCCCACGATCTTCATCGACGAAGCTGGCTAGCTGGATGCCCTACTGAAGTTCCTGGTGCGGATCTCTAAGCAGACGAATGTGGCGAACGTGGTTTTCGGTTCATTAGAGAACTTGAAGGAATGGTAGGATAGCATCCGTGGTCATAAAATCAGCTAAGTGTTGGCCACTTAAACGAAGAGGAGGCCAAAGAGTTCGTGAGGCTGAAGCGGAGGTGTTTGCGATTTGGGATGACATTTATGCACACTTCGGGGGAGCCATTCTGCTGCTGCGACAGCGCTACGGAGGAGTGAGGACTGGAAAAATGTGGTGGAAGCCATGGCAGCTGCCAAGGACGGAGTCATCCCCTTGCATGAACTGTCTGTATCTGGAACTGCGCTTAAATCAATGATCCCCTCCAATACAGGGAGCCGACTCCTTGGGACAGGGACATCAACGTATCAGCTCCGATTGTCATGCCAGTGGCAATAGTTTCTGGCTAATAGAATATTCTATATGATTTTTTAAATTATACTAAGCCTGCATTTTGCATCAACCATGACTTCCTGAAAAAATTACTAGCCACACTAAGTAGGATGTGATACATGCTTCAAAAGCCTTCTTGCATAGAAACAGCTTCTCATGCTTCCTTTTTCGTTTCTTGTCCTGTGAAACTAAACCACAGAAAAACTGCTGGACGGAATCGCTTGCGACCTTCTGCGTCACCTAGAAAAACTCACGGTAAATCGCTTTTGTCTCATTAATCATGTAAAAAAGCGGTGCCCATATAAAAAACCTTGTCGCAGAGAGCCACCTTGACATGCTCGCGGACATAAAACAAGAGCCGAGTATCCAAACTGGGATGGAAGATCCAAGGCTGTGGAGGAGCTAGCAAACAACACTCTGGGTTTACTTGGAAGCTGCCCGCTGCTTGGACCGTGCGTATAAGCCTTTCGACTACTACGCGGCTGCTAAGTTATCCACTTAATCTTAATACGGGCTAGTGGACAGTGCCTCTTAACAGTTGCATTTATGTTTTTCCAGGTCGGGTCGATCGAAATCGCTCGACAAGGTTGGGCGAAATGCTCAGTTCCAAACAGCGTGGGTGTGAGCCTTTGGGATCAACGCGTGTTCCTGATAATGGAGCAGAGCACACAACACTCTCTCTCTCTCTCTCTCTCTCTCTCTCACACACACACACACACACACACACACAAAAGAGATTGATTTTGCTTGTTTGCCGCTTTTCTCACAGCTTATTCCGAGGATGTTTACATGAGAGAGAGAGAGAGAGAGAGAGAGAGATTTTGCTTGTTTGCGGCTTTTCTCACAGCTTATTCCGAGGATGTTTACATGAGAGAGAGAGAGAGAGAGAGAGAGAGAGAGAGAGAGAGAGAGAGATTTTGCTTGTTTGCGGCTTTTCTCACAGCTTATTCCGAGGATGTTTACAAGTTTTGATGACAGCTCGCAAGTGAGCTGGTGAGCTGTGGTTTTCGAGTTTGATGCGCTTCAAAGATTGTGAAGCCTCAACTCAAAAGCTTTCCACGTTTTGCTAATGTTTTAATGTTCCAATGGAACAGCTGGCATACAAAGAAGAACAAAGCTTCGATCGAGAAAGCGTCCATCTCTTTCACTGACAGACTTTTGGTTCCAGGAATAAGTTCCGATTCGAGATAGAATTCGCACGCTCTCGGACATTCAACTAAGCTTTTTATAGAACAAATCGCTTTCTGGGGAAGTCTAAAAAGAAGGACGCGAGGTGTCGTTTGGGACAATTCAATGCGAGGAGGAAACCACCAAACGATCGCAGCAAAAGGACTAGTACCATACTTTCTTCGCGTTAAATTGCCGAAAACTCCAGGATCTCTTTGATCCTCTGAGGTGTCTTCGTTTGTCCATGAATCTCCAGGACTTCAATAAAAAAATCTCTGGGCCATGGTAGCAGTGTGGTAAATACATTGAGATCGATCACCATTTTCTTGCTGCTGGCCAAGGGAGAAGCAATCAGCCCAGGAATCACCAAATGGCAGTGCTCGGAAAGGTACATCTTCAGCTTGGACATTTGCCATCTTACAAAGCTGACTACGCTAAAGAAGAGGAGGTACGCCTTCGTGCAGCTGGTAAAACTCTTTTCAGTCTGGCTACCATCCTTTCTTGCAGCTCTTGCTCCTGCAGTATGAACATGAGAATCAATTAGAAACGACACAGATGTATAGAAATAAAAGGGTTGATGATGCATACTGGATCATTCTTGCGCACTTGTTTTAGCAGATCAATGCTCTTTTCAACTCTCTCTTTCATCAGCACTGCATGTAACACACTTTAGGGACAGAAATCTTTAGACACATGAACTTACTATATAATTCTCGACACTGTTGGAAAACAAAATAATAAACAGGTCAGTGGAAAATAATAATCATTGAGGGTTTCACCTTTTCTCGATCGCCAATGTCAAAATCCACTCGAGAAGTATCCACAGGTTCGGCAAAGTGGAAGTAGATTCTCTTTAAATAATAAGGGAAAGGAATTGCACTTCATAAAAATAAAACGAAATGTGAAGAACCAACCAAAGAGAGAGCTCTACCTGGGAAGATTTGTGAAAGGAAATGTGCTGATGGGATGAACACTCTCAATATCCAGGTTAAGTGCTGTGTACACTTGCCTAACAACGTTACTCAATGGCGACTGTAAAATATCGTTTGAGTCCATAAATACTTTAAATCTGCAACCAAAACAAAAGGAACAATTTAAAGCTTCTAGCATTAAATCCTCTCTAGAATTTTACTCACGCTTCGTCGCCACCTAAAGCACCAAATGGAACGATGATCGCATTGAGACGGATAGCCATTCGAACAAAATCAGTAGTGGGTTTCCAAAAGAGTTTGTATTCTTCCCCCTGCTGTTGCCAGAGATGAATATCAAAATGGTCAAAAAACTATGATACCTCACCTTACGCTTGCAGACTTCTCTTGCACCACCCGGGAACAAAAGTACGTGCTGCCCTTCCTACACATAAATATCCCGAAGATCATATCATGCAGTTTTTACCACGCAAACCTTGAGGACTCTGTAAGCTTCGAACTTGTTGGCTTTAACACAGCCATATCTGTAAGAACGATTTTCAGAGCTGTAGCTATTTGGAAGGCCTTACTTTTCGAAAAAAGTTCCCACTGCAGACATCCAATGACCAGGATGAGCGAGAGTGCGGCACTTGAACCCCCGGAGAAACAGCTAGTAGCACAATGTCAAGAATAGTGTTTGCTACCAGGAAAACAAAATACCTCGTGAACAAGAACTGCTGAATCATATACACCAAATATTGTGTGGTTTCCGACAAACAGCACGGGTCTTCCACGCTAAAAACTCACCGCCACCGTGAGAAACTAACTGGCATTTGAAACAACATACCAAGAGAGAAGGAGAAGGCAAGTTGTCAGCCCCGGAGATGAATGGAGACGTCAAGAACTACAAAGAAAGAAATTAGTAGCATTTTGCTAGCTCTTAATAACTTACACGCCATGGACCGAGTATATCGCCAAGTTGATCCATCGTCTCATCTGGAACAGCGTCATTTGGCTGATCGTGGGATGCATTAGGATGATGAAAACCGTGATCATCCATGATCTCAGCCAAGTCTATGCAATCCTCGAGCAAAGCCATATGTCCACTGAGTAAGAAAGGTGTTGGTAAAAGCCGTAAAATGATCCAGTAGGTTTTACCTGTCTGGAAGAATGACCCTCTTGGAGTTTGGAATGAGACTTTGGAGCCGGATACCCTCGGCTAGCGACGCTAACATTCGATCCTTTGCCGAGGATAGCTGCCAGTCAAGCAAGATTTGATGGAAACATGAGCTTGAATCATAAAAGTCACTCACAATCAGCGTGGGCATCTGGATGGATCGAAGCTCGCCATCTGAAAGCTCCGCTTGATCGTTAAGCATGGATAAACGAAACGCAGCACACTCGGCAGGAACGAAGTCTATGGGCGAAAGAAGGTCGTCGTCTGTGGACGAAACACGGTTTCTCTTCACCATCAAAGGCAGGAGAATGTCCTGCAAACAGAGAACAAAGCCATGGTTTCTGAAAGAACTTGGTGGAGCGTCGACTTTACTTTACCTGAGCAAACTCGTAGAGAGGCTCCGGAAAGAGCGCGAGAATGCCAGTGTGACCAACAATGCTGGCAAGCTTGTTGCTTTGTGCCAAGTTCGTGGAAGGATTCACCTGTGATAACACACTGGGAAAACATGAGAATCAAAAAAAAACTTTTCTTTTCTTCTGCTCGACATACCAAAACGAGACGAGACACAACATCGCCTGCCGCTCTAGCCAAATGCAAAGCCAAACGCCCTCCAAAAGACTCGCCAACCAGAATTACTTGCTCGTAACCTTTGGCCTCGTGTCTCAAGAGAGGAGCGAGCGTGGCCGTGAGTGACGACCACCCTGATCTGTTGCTGCTCGGGATGTATACACATCTTATGTCGTGGCTGCAATGGCGAAACTTTAGTCTAGTCGTGATTCTAAACACAAAAACTTCACGTACCCGGCAGCGACGAGAGATGGCAACTGCGGTCGAATCCCCTGGCCCGTGCAATCCATTCCTGGAACGTAAACGAGGAGAGATCTTCTGTGTGGAACGCGAGCGCTGGGTGGCACCAGCACCTTTAGCGGGTTGAGCAAAGTGACGTGAGTTCCCACACCCCGGGAGAAATCGGGAGTGGGGCAGCTCGGCACGGCAGCAAGGTCATCGACGAGGCTGCCATTCTGGGTCGCGGCGGATTGGAGCTCGGTGCTGGCACTAGCAATGAAAACTAGAGCCCTCTTCTTCATTGCAGAAGAAGCACTTCTTTTTCTTCTCGAGGAAGAGACATACCTGGGTTTGTAGAGGTGCGAAGGGAATAGGACGGCGCTGGACGCTATGTCCACTCCCATTAAAATAGACTTCCAGATTGAGCATCCACAGTTCCCCTACCAAGATCCTTGAAATTTGTCAAAGAGAATGTCTCTTCTCTTTCTCCTTTTAACAAAATACATAAACTAAACCATTCAAGAAGTTTTTAGTTCTCGTAAACCAATGTTTAGGACATGGTGGGCGTCCGGACACAAGAACGCGTGGTTTATGTACTACATCTGCCGGTTTTCAAAGCTCGTGGTGTTTCGACATGCAGAATTGGCAGTATATAAGCAGTAGCGAACTCCAAATCCACAGGCTCCTTCTAAGGGAAAAAAAAAAATGAAAGATCTTTTCAGAATTTCAAGTGTCACTCATTTCGAGCTTCCGCTGCTTCCCAACAACATTCCATTTGCTTGCCACCCGGAATTCCAATCAATCAGCCTCAAAATCGACAAGTGGTTCCTTGGCAAGATGAGAATCGCCGACGAGACTTCCAAGAAGAAGGTGCTGGAGTCCAGGATTGGTTTGTACGCCTGTATTGATGCATCCCGCATGCTAAGAGAGAGAAGCTTGT